ACATAAAAGAAATAGAAGTGATAAAAGGACCATAAAAGAGGTGTTTTTTAAGTGTTGTCTTAACTTTGGAGGCACTTAAGTCTCACCCTCTCCATCATGCACACTCTTTACTTCATTTTAGGGCTGGGCGATCTGACCTCAAATCAATATCACAATATATTGAGCAATTCACCTCAATAACGATAAATCGCTAATAACTACTACACAAGCTGCTCACCCCCTCCCAAATTAACTTCGTCCACTTCAGCCGCCGCTCCAATCGCTACAATTTTTGAACCGTCCTCCATCTCCTCACCTCTTTTACTCTTTGTTACGGACTGGATGGGGTGGAGTCATGTCTCTGACGTAGGACAGCGTCTTAAAGGGACATGAGACCATAGCCTACCTACACACATCCAAAACCAACTTTTATTTAATTATTAATTTGACACCAAATATATTGACATGGGCAAAATGATGTCGGTTATTGGCGTAAATTTCGGTATCTGTAAATTTTAGCCCTACTTCATTTTCTGGTCACTACCTGTGCAGTTGTGGCCTTAGCCAAGTGATGCATCAGATGTATGCTCAAAATAAGTCACAGAGATTTTGTTTTTCTCCGTTTTTAAATGCTGCAGTGTTATTGTGTTATAAAAAAGCATCATAGGATCCGGCGTAAATAAGATGCAGCAATCAAATACCGAGGGAAATGCAATCATTAGGATTCAGAAACCAACGCCCTGTAACAACAGTCCGCCATCACTACGCTCCATCATTTACGCTAACCCCTGCTAGCGTCCCTTCACTACATAGACACCCATTCAAAAAGGCCTGACTGTATGAGTGTGAATGAAGCCCGACAGAAGCGTAGCAGTCCAGACTTGAGTATGCAATGTGAAGGGGGCGTCTGACACCTGTACAACACGATAGGTGCAGCTGCCAATTTCTTTTTAAACATTACAAATCATCCATTTTGTATGTTTGATCTGTTATTGATCTGTTTTCTTTCTCATGGTCAATGAAAGCTCCTGCCACTCATCATATGAGAATTTCATATCACATACAAACAACACAGACAGATTTTTTTAAGTGTGTTACTGGAAGAGTACTTAGCGTTGACTGATACTAAATTTAGATATGTGAATGAACATGTTAAGACATCACGAGTGTGTCTCAATGTCCTATTTACATGCTTAGTAATGGTAAAAAGAGGGGGGTGGGGGTACTGCAGCTGCATGTGGTCAAGCTTTGATTTGTGTTACTGCTGAATCGCCTGCCGATGAATCATCTCCCACATCTCTGCTTCAAATCCCCCCCTGTTGGACTTAATCATGCGAGAGTCCAGGGGGGTGTAGGTGTCTTACAGTCTACAGATGAACTCACACATTCCTAAATGACTGTGAAATGATTGGCTTTTCTCTCTGGTTATTGCATCGTGTTTCTGTGAGATGTCTTTGTCTCGAAGGCGAACACCTTTTTTATTCTTGAAAACCTCCAGTACTGAGCCCGGGCGGTTATATTGGGCACGCCGCTGAAGGAAACCTCGCAAACATCACGACATACTGTGGCCTCCTGTAAATCCGTCTCTGCTTTAATGGTCTGAATAACCAGCCAGAGAGCAGCAGCTGTCTCGTTGGTCTCCGTCCCATCCCCCCACTGAGACCCCCCTTTAACCAGCCCCTCTGTTCACTCTACGAGGAAAGAGCAGCACAATAATACAATGATGGTCCAGCAGAGACTCAGCCAGTATTAGGTTTATAGTGTCCTGTATTTATTGAGTTCCTACAGGAGTCGACAGGCATTTAGGACAAAGGGGGGCTGAGGATGACATCAGTTAATGGTGGGCTTAAAAGGGTCAGTTCACCCAAATGAAAATGCCATATTACCTCATTTGCTCTTTAGGCCATAAAGAGATGTTCGGCTTTATTTACTTTGGGTTAAGGATATATGTCTTTTTTGGTTCATCTTGAACCAATTAGGATAAAATTCATATAGAAAAAGGGTCAAATTTAAAATAATCAATGATATAAAGTGTCATGATCTTGCCTTATATTCTCATGCTCCTCTAATGTGCAGACTCCAGCTGTTTTCAGAGATATCTTTATTCATCTTTATCTCTAAAATGGGAAGTTGGACTTTATTGTGTATGTTTATCTTCTTTGATATCTGGGTGTTATACATTTGAAAAAGCTAAAATTGAACAGATCTGCTACATAAACAGAGTCTACGGCTTACTCGCACAGCAAATTTGATTATACCTTTCTCCTGTACATGAACAGCATGAAGTTAATGGTCAGTCATCAATGATTTTAATTAATAGTTTTATTGGATGGAAATTATGACAAGGGTCACTGGCAGGAATCCAAATGGTGTCAGCTACATAAGCCACCTTTAATCAGATTAGAAAAGGGAAAACAGCACAACTGGAATAAAAATGGCTCCATATGAACATTTTGATCAGAATTTTAAAAAGGGGATGTTGTAGTCTGTTTGTCTCGCATTGAAACAGTAAAAAAAAAATCAACTTAGGAGATGTTGAGTACCTTTTATAGTGCTTTGCAAAGCCGTGGTTTCATGTACATCCATTTTAAGTCAGGTTTCTTATATGAGTGATGTTTTACAAATGAACTTGGCTAACATTGTCAATCTTGTTTATCTCGTACAATACACAGTATCCCTGACATGTGGTGCCATACAGTTCTGCTTTAGAGAGAGACAGTATCTATAGAGCTGAAAATCACATCTAGTTTTGTCTTTTAGAATTGCTATCAATGTTATATGAATGGAGGGTTAATTGGCTTTGGCTCCCTGCAAACATAAACAACAGTGTTTTTCTTCTTACTATTTGAAAATGAAGTCTCTCTAAATCTTTCACAATTTACTTGTCCTTATTAAAATGTCAAAAATTGCTAAAAAATGTAATTTTGAGGTCAAACATGGACAAAAAATGTTGAGATTATACTCACCTGCTTTTATCCTCTCATGTCTACATTATTTAATCAATCAGAAATCAACCAATCATCTGCAAGGAGTGCTAAACTCTGCAGCAAGACATTTAACAAAAACTAAGACATGAGAGCATATTACTCCTGTTTTAATGACCTTACATTGGCTGCCTGTTCCTTTTACAGAAGAAATGACTTAAAGGTTTTACTCATTACTTTTAAAGCACTTAATGGCCTGGCCCCGGAATATATAACTGAACTGCCGTCCCCTGACCAACTCATGTGCAGCCTCAGATCCTCAGATCCTCAGACAAGGACCTCTTAAATGTTCCAGACTCTAACTTGAAAACTGGAGGAGACACAGTGTTTGCTGTTCTGGCTCCTCGGCTGCGGAGAGACCTTGAAAAGCTACATTAGTATCTGAAGACACATTTCTGTCTATCACTGCTGATTTCTGTCTCCTTATTTCTATCGTTTCTTTTATTCAGCCATTTTTTCTGCTTTTAACCCTAGAACACTGTCGCCGGGTGATTTTTTCCCGACCAAACATGTTTACGTGGTTTTCATTATGTTGTGTTTGCCTGAGTATCATGGGTCTTTGGGCAGCTTCAGCCTTGCCTTTTTGAAGGCATATTTGTTTCCCTGATCCAAAACCCACTTTTTCCTACAGGCACGTGTTCGGGTGATTTTCACCTGGTAATAGTAACAGAGGGTAAGTAGGTTTGGGTGGATTTGATAGCTGCATGTAGGCGAATAAGGTCAGTAAGAGTGGTCCTGGAATTTACATGCTATCTTTATTTTGCGCAGTGGTTATGAATAACTATTACAAAGTAGTGATTTTCAAGGGAATTCATATGGGGATAAAAAATATGACATATTTTGGTTCCCTCTCCTGTTATTGTGCCAAGGACCCTGAGTCTTCACCAGGGAAGACTCACGTTCCCCAGGAATAGGTGGAAAAGAAACTAAGTCTACTGTTAATATATATATATACACACACATATATAAATATATGAATTTTTTGTTCATGAATGCCTAATTTCAGTTTCAGCACTTTTTTCCCCTCCCTTTGGACATTGCACAGTTCAAAATAAAAGAAAACTACTTTAGTTAGTCATGTATTGTCCTATTTCAATATATGTTGATGACAAGTACTTTTTCTTGGGTATATTATTTCAGGCGATAGTGATGGTGTTACTAATTTTAGTGATATTGTTCTAGGTATGGTATGTTGTATCTGAACAGGTTAGCTTACGAGCAAAAGTTACTTAGCACAGATGAAAGTTAAAACAAAGACGTTTAGCAAACTGTTAAAGCACACAAACCATCGTCATATGAGAAATCCAAGCACAACTTGTCCTTCAGGTCGTTATCTTTGTAACCTTTTTTTTTTTTTAATCAAAAAGCACTCTGTTCTCCGACAAGTAAACAATCAGCCAGTCAGCCATGTTGGATATACCGGTTAATCTGATGTCGCAACAACACGCAATCTGATTGGTCAGAAGTGGACACGCAGTATGCCAAACTTTAGAAAAATCTACCGTGATCTGAAAACAATAAATGCCGCAATATCGCAGGACGGGAAAATGTCGCTGATGTGAACGCTTGTATTGACAGGATACGGGTTCGGAAAAAAAAAACTGACATCCGAAATAATCACACACAAAAAAAACTCTCCCGGTGTGTAAGGACCTTTAGTTAGCTTTGGCTCACTGCAAACATATACAACAGTGTTTTTCTTCTTACTATTTGAAAATGACGTCTCTTTTAATCTTTTACAATTTATCTGTTTTTATCAAAATGTCAAAAATTGCTACAAAAAATGTCATTTTGAAGTCAAACATGGACAAAAAAATTCAAGTCGTTCTTTTTTCTTAAATTTTTTTAAAATTTTAGCCAAAAAATACAAAAATGTACAAAAAGTTTTTTTTGACATAATAACCCTTAAATGTGCATTTTAATGATTAAACCCTATAGTGAACGTTTTCAGACAGGAGCTCTTCTTATAAAGGACCTCTGCTCCCTCCCCCTTTTTGATGCCCTTCACCCCACACCCTGACACCCCCCTCACTATAGAGAGAGAGAGAGAGAGAGCGAGAGAGAGAGTCTGACTCCCACCGTTCACATCGGCAGTTGTAGAGAAAGAGAGAGAGAGGAAGAGAGAGAGAGAGAGAGAGAGAGAGGAGAAAGAAAGAGAGAGCTGTCACAGCGAGGAGAGAGTCTACAGCAACTTGTTCACATGTACCCACCACCGAGCGGAGGAATAAAAATTATTTCAACACGGATTTACAAATGCCATTAACCGCGTGACCGCCGACCGCGATGGACATGCACGAGCCGGCTGCACGGAGTTGTTTGATCCGGGTGGTCGCGTAAGAGACCGGCAAGAAACTCATGGTAGGGTTATTAATTCATCATTTCACCCTTTTGCATTTGTGTTTTTTATCAGTTGCAAATACGTGACATGCAGTTGTGTGTTATTATCTGTTTCTAGTTGGTGAAGTTGCCCTCGGGGTTTTTCAGTTTTCTGTCTTGGGGAATGGAAAAGTTTGCTTGTGGCTGATTTGCCTGTGTGAGCGCGCGTCGTATAAAAGCGGAGACATCGCCAACATAACGGGCTCCTTTCAGCGGAGAGGCGCCCGCTGCCCGTTCAGAATGAATGGGTCACTATGTATTCTAATCTAACTCAAGAGTTCACTCAGTTTTTCGGTGGGTTTAAAGCGGCAGAGAGCTGCTCCTTCAGGACCGAGCAGTATCTTGACGCGCGTACTGTGGAGGAATATCACCGAGATCAAACGAACCAGTAGTGTTGTAAATATCAAATCACGTCGTTTCCACTTTGAGTACGAGATCTTCTTTAAAGCAGAGGAGATGCTGTGATTTATTTTTCCTCGTGACTGGGCTGGGATGTGTGGCGATATTCATGAGACGCGTTTGTTTGCAAGCGCTTCGACCGTGAGAGCCAAAACAAAAGGATTTCCAGCTGACCAATGAGAGGAGGGGAAGCCTCAGGAGGGACGGAGTGGTCCTCTCGCCTCTTTGTCCTCCTACCTGAGACGGCAAAACAGGCTACACACTGCCAGGAGACAGGCGAGGGAATAACAAGGGATATTTGTCAGACGGATCCCCATGCGTAAAAGTAACCTTTTTACCAGTTTGGGTACATTTCTGCCTGGTTACACCCACAGACGCTCCTTCATACCTCACTAGAGATTATGAAGAGTGGTGCTGAGGATTTAAAGTGTCATCCAACACCTGCTAATGAAGCTCTGAAAAGTTCACACCACACCATCCTTGATTGAATCCTATAAAACTTAAAGTTTAAAGCAAACACGTAAAGCGTTTCCACTCAAAAAGCCTACAGATTTATGCAAATGCTGATATTTTTGAATAATAGTTGAGACATGCCCAGAGGGCGCATCTCATCACTTTAACCCCCTTCCTCTACCCCTCATTACTTTCAAGTTGAATAAGTTAATGTGCAGAGGAACATGAGGGTTTTTAATTACTATACTTGAGCTTTCAATTAAGTACATGCGAGCAGCTTGCCAGCACATTAGCTGCAAGGGTTTCAAACAGAAAGTGAGCTAATCTCTGGAGAGCAGAAGAGTTGGAGCAGTTAACTGATAAGTCAAATGACGGCAATATTAATCATCAATATGAATGCATGAATGATTTAGAAAGCAAAACTGCTAAGAATGATCAGAATGGACAGTCTGAGAGTGAGGGTTTGCTGCTTTTCTCTGATATGTACGGAAGCAGAAATGTGCAAAAATGCTGTTGTTTTTTGGATTTCTTGTTTGCTTATTTTCCTTCAAGTTGAAACTGATGGAAGTAAAGTGAATGGAGCTTAAAAATGACAAAATTCTGAACACTTGTACACAATGTGGGCTTTGACGGTGTTGCAGGACCAGGAAAAAAAACAACTGAACATGCAAGTGTACAGTTGTTACTGCTGCTGCTGTTTTCTGTTGGTGTTTGGACTTTTTTAATGTGATTTATAGAGTAGAGTGAAATAATCTTTAGACTTAATTGGTGAATTTGAGATTAAAGCTCCTGTGAGGAGTCTTTTAATGTTTATAAAATGTACTGAAATATGCAATAATGGTTTTTTAATGGTATCTAAAAGCAAGTAAGACCATCAGGGACAAGACTGACACTCTTGATATTGTTATTTTTAGTGTTTGAATGGTGAGAGGGGGTAGGTGTAAGCCGACTAGCTCAAGAAGTGACTCTGTTTTTATAGTTTCCACTTAAAAAAAAAAATCACAATAAATCAAACATTTTAATGTTAAAAATCAGCTGGATGACATTTTCTGTCAGGAGATGCTACTTTAAGTCAGCGAAGGACAAGATAAGCCAAGACTGCTTAGTCCCCAGCTGATACAAACCGAAGCTTTAATTTGAGCTATTAACTGATAAGATCACCATCGTCATAGAAACACAACCTTCAGTCAAAACTGAGGGATTATTTCAATCTAGGTGTATTCGTAGATAATTTTTAAGAACATAAAGTCGTCTTGTGACAGCTTGTTTACATTTGTAGTTAGTGATCAGGGTCAGTCTGTCAGGATAATCGTTAAACTCTAGATAACTGAACATTATCTGTTAATTAATGTCTTATGGAGGTGCGGTTGAAATGTGATATCTTTGCCCGGTGCACAGAAGTCCAAGTAACGCCATTGTCTGGGACATTTAAACCTAATTTCAACCATTTTTTTAGGGAGACGGGAGAATGTATGTCCAAACAGTTATTAAACCAAACTTTGAACTAATTTATGGAAATTTGGCTCTATCTTGATGCTATGGATGTCAAGACACCATTCACTAAGCTGGGAGGATATCACTGATTTCTGATAAACATAAAAAAGCAACAAAATTGACAAGCAAACAATTCCTTGAGTTATCTTGCGAACTCAAAATGTTGTTTTTCACTTTAAAAACTGGATTAAAACATTGTAAACATGAACAGAGCCATTTTTGACTTCCATACATTTGTGTCTCTGTGGACCAAATGCTTACAGTTGAAACCAGAAGTTTACATACACTATATTAAAAGGCGCATAACCTTTTTTTTCTCACTGTCTAACATTAAATCAGATTAAACTTTTCCTGTTTTTGGTCAATTAGGATTACCAAAATTGTTTTTATTTGCTAAATGCCAGAATAATGAGAGAGAGAATTTTTTAGACAATTTTTTATTATTTTCTCGAGAGTCAAAAGTTTACATTTATTCATTAGTATTTGGTAGCTGCCTTTTAATTGCATGACTTGGGTCGAATGCTTTGGATATGCTTCTCTCTCTCATTATTCTCTCTCTCATTATTTTGGCATTTAGTAAAAATGTAAAAATAATTTTCCTAATTGACCCAAAACAAGAAAAGTTTAATCTGATTTAATGTTAGACAGTGAGGAAAAAAAGGTTATGTGCCTTTTTATATAGTGTATGTAAACTTCTGGTTTCAATTGTAGGTTCCAGAGGATGTGGACAAAACCAGGAACCATACCGCAGTGACCTTTTGACTTTTTACCTTTCAATGTCCAAACAAACAATAAAACATGACAAGAATGAATAAAAATGATAATTACTTGCAGCCATAAAATGCGCCTTCAGTTTGGAGCGTGTATATCTCAGAGTGATGCATGCAAAGCCTTCGCAGGCATAGGTAGATATAAAAACCCTCCCTGTGTTTGCGCTTCTGTGCGTGGTGTGAGCGTGTGTAGCCGTGTGCTTACAAGTTGACACAGTGTGTGTGCGTAGGAGGCGGAGACGTAGGCGTCGTAAATGTGGCAGGGATTCTCTTTCTCGCTGCGATATATTATTACACAGAGAGTGGGACGGATGATTAGGATGATTTAAATGCCGCAACAGCGAGTCGTGTGTGTGCGTGGCCTCCAGCAGCCACTCTGTTCTGTTTGAGCTCATTTCATCTCTCAGCGCTGCAGATTTCTGACTGAAGCACTTTGATGAATTACTCCGTCCGAGAGAAGTTGAGCTGTAATATTTCTGGCTGATTGTTCTCGATTTAGATGCAGCGATAAACGGGGTTATTGTGGAAGGTTGATGAAGTGTTCATTTCAGAGGAACTTTAAGTAAATAAACAATAAATCACATGTTGTCTCATCTGCATGTGGAGCAGGGTTTAGTGCAGTGTGCATGAAGGAGGAGGCAAAACTATGAATGAATGAAAGAGGGGGGTGTTTCAAACACCTTCATGTAGATGGTATCACAGCAGGAAGTGCAGCTTTTAGGCCGAATTTCCCGTCATTACAGATTCCACTGATAGTGATTCTCTCAGTAATAGACCAGCACTAGACTCTTAATTATTGCAATCCAGACAAAGAGGGGATGCCTTTGTTATTGAAATCTTTGTCAGAGATTTCTCCAGGGAAGGAAATTCAATTGAAACGGCTGAGAGAATCCAAGGGAATTCAATTTAAGCGTCCTTTTTAGGGCCACTTCATCATGAAAACGGGGGCAAATTTGGCAGCAAACATGCGCCGAGATGTTGCCCTATTCAGATCCGTGGGTCATTAGACATTGACATTGATAAAACATAACCCCCCATGTTTGAGCAAATGCTCAACCGCAGGCTGAATTTGTCAGAAGATGAAACAAGTGCGTCTTCAAAGCAGATTTCGTTCCCATGTTGTCTTTGAGTAATTGGCAAAACACGCACGGTAACTTCTGTGCAGGCAAGACGCTTTCATTAGTCCAGACAAATGGGTCCAAATGAAGACTTTCATGTGATTTGTACTGCTGCCCTGTATTTAATGTCAGATAAATTTAAAACGCTGGCGCTCCTGTTTATTCAAACAATTAACATTTTCTGAAAAGAGAGCGCATTCGTTATCGCCGTGGATAAATCTGGGAGAAATGTGCATATTTGGAAAGGACTGTGCCTTGCTGTGATTCATTAATGTGACTGGAAATTAGAATAAACAAAGTGCTGCGTGGATTGAATGAAGCCAACTTCTTCTTCGCTCCACTTTGTCCTTTGTGAAACAGGCGTTGTTGTCTGGAACATTTTGAACCAGACGGGGGCAAATGACCCAAGTGTCTCATCCCAGAAACCTCCGACCGGTCCCTTAGCTAACCCTTGCGTCTGTATTTTCCTAGTGACTCACACATTCTTGCCTTGCTCTGATAACCCGGACACCTTTTCCCTCCCTTCTTTCTTTCTTTGGGTTACATCTCCTTTTTCAGCCTGAGAGCCTGAAGCAGCGCTCTGTGTTTCTCAAATGAAGCATTTGACCTCTCTTTCAGGGGTCTTTTATTTTGGTCGCTGCTGCAGGAAGCTGAGTGTCAAGTGTGCATCAGGGGGCTGCTGTGTGTAGCTCTGCTGGGCTCCTGTGGGGCACAGGGCACACTGACTGTACATATGGAGCCTCAAACCGTATGTATTCAGGCATTCAAGCAGGATCAGATGTCTTTGAAATATGCTGTCCTCATACTACCTCACTGTTGTGACTCCACCAGAAACTGTTGGGAGTTTTTCCTTTCCAAATATTTCTCCTCCTTATGTCAACCAATTTTGGATCTAAGAGATACAACACAGGCATACAGTATGTGAGGAAAGACTGCAATGTGTGATAACGGTGCTTAAGTATTGCTATGTAGAAATGAAATGTGTAAAGACAAACACCCTGAAGTGTAAGAGCTGGCTATGACTCACATGTCTTACATCATCTCAGGTTGTATTTTCTTTTGTTTGGTGTGTTTTACACAGTCACCGTGCTCAAAACAAGTCATCTCTCTTGAATCCAAAATAGCAAAACTGATGTTCCCTTCACCATCACAGGCTATTTTTCTTTCTACTCAAGCATCTTTAAAGTTTTAGATTTTGATAGGTCAGTGGGTTCACCATCTGTGGGCAAAGTAGTCCCATAAAAGGCCTTTGCAGCTGGTTCTATTCTCCAACAGAGAGTGTCGAGGAATTCCTTGTGAAGATGACTCGCTATTGCCGTTAGTAGTGGACATATTGAGGCAGAGGCATTGCTTTTCTCTCTCTCAATACAAGTGAAGGCTCACGGGATTCAATTGTGAATAACTGTGAATGACGTTTCTTTGAACATTTCTATCTGAATAACATTGACCTTTTCACCTACATAAAGTACCAGACATGAGTAAACTAGACCCACAGTAGAAAGTGAAAAAATAAAAAAAATTTAAGTGAAATGAAGTTTAGTTTCAGCTGACAGCTATCTGGGATTTCATGAGCTTTTCAACTTTGTGTTACAGTGTCAAAAGTGAAGCACCATTATTACTACACCTTTGAACTAGTACTGCACAGCAAACAGAAATTCATTTTTAAGTACTTTTATTCTAAATGGGATGGTAACAGAGTGTACTCATGTCTAGTACTTTATGTAAGTGAAAAGGTCAATGTTATTCAGATAGAAATGTTAAAAGAAACGTCATTCACAGTTATTCACAATTGAATTCCGTGAGCCTTCACTTGTATTGAGAGAGAGAAAAGCAATGCCTCTGCCTCAACATGTCCACTACCAACGGCAATAGCGAGTCATCTTCCCAAGGAATTCCTGGACACTCTCTATTGGTGAACATAACCAGCTGCAAAGGTCTTTAGTGGGACTACTTGGCCCACAGATGGTGAACCCACTGACCTGCTTCAAAGTAGAATTACAGAAGGGTGGAAACAATTTAAACATTACTAAGCACCTAGACCTCTACGAGAAGTACAATACACATCAGGTCAGTATGTAAGGCAGTGAGCTAGCCTGCTAGAAGGTTGTCGAACTGTTTTATTGAAAGTGCCATTATTTCAACAGGTGAGTTCCATCAAGACATATGCATTACACAAACAGTTGAGGTTGAAAGTAGCTATGACATATGCTTTTGAACTTTTCAGGCCAATAGTGTATTTCAGCTGGGAAATTGAAGATCAAGTTGTGCGGTCTGTTTAAGTTTTATTGGACTAAAATTAGGAGCCAGCCCTCAAACCTTACTTGACTGCTGTTGTAATGTAGCTTCGCTTTGGGTTTTGAGCATTACTTGTAAATTGACTTAATGCCCATTTAAGAACGATACTGTTGGACTTACAGGTAACGTTATCAACCAAGAGTTATTAGTAATATTTTCCTAGTCTTTAACATCTCTATTTTTCAGATTTTCTGCTTCTTTAAATATTCCTTTAGAGCGCCTATAAGGAATTTTCTCTTTGTTACGACTTTGGTGCTGCTTGTGAATGAAGAAGCATCTTTTAACTTTATGCTGATTTGCCTTGTACTTGTATAAGTCCTGCTTTCTTACAAAAAATATCACCCTCTAACTCTTATAAAGAAAGAAAAAACTCCTCACAGGAGCTTTACGGTGAATTAGACATTTTCAAGGGTTTAAGTTTTTTTTTTTTTGACAGAAAAAGCACTTTAAAGGAGTCAGTGTAAGCACTGCAACTTGTGATAAGAATTTTTTATTATTTTTTGACATCCTATGGACTTAAGGATGAAGAAAAAATAAGGTAGCATATGTCACACTACAGAAATTAGCAGAAACAGTTGTTTACCAGCCTATTATTAGATGTTTATTATTTAAAGCGGATACTGAACATGCAGGAACAGCTTCAGCTGACAGATAAATATGCGTCATCAGTATGCAGAAGGAGTTTTTTTGCATCAACGTAAACAAATTTGACTGTCAGAGGCTGTTTTCTTCTGTGCGCCTATTTAAAAAGTTAAGTCCTGGGCTATTCAGCGGCCTATCAAAACATGTCAGCCCTTATAGATGCCATCTTGAGCCTCACTCCTGTCACAAGTAACCCCTTTTGTTTCTTAAAGTTTCATAGACAGACGGCTGTTTTAGTGAGCCTGCGCCTATGTGACAGCAGGCTCCAGTTTTAGACTGAATGATCTAAACTGAAGAGACGGTATCCGGGTGCTTTCGGTTCAGGGGTTTGGAGGATAATGGTCCATGTAGGAGGCCCTGTGATGGATGGATCCCCTAGTGAAGTTATGTTATGTATTCCTGATGAGAGCAGTGGATCAGCAGACAGGATTTATGTGGCTGTGGAGGAGCGAGCACTCAAGAAGATGCTGTCTGTCCGAGCGGCCGTCCAAGGCTGTTTATCACTGTGATTGATGTGCCTCTCGTGATTAAGCTAACACGCTGACAGACATTAATCTGCTTTATCTCTGGAGTCACTTGCATGGAAGTTATTTTTCTCAATGTTACTGGCTCTAGTAAACAAGAGGGGCATGGAAACATCATTCTCTTTCTGGATGTGACTAATCTTGTCATAGTCTGGGAGGTCTCAACCCTTTTAGACTCGTTTTAGCATGAGGAACTTTTATTACATTTATGAGTCCAATACATCCCTTTAAAAATGTCTCTTATAAAAAATCTGCCGGTAAATTACAACCTCAAAAGACGCTTCCAGGCACAAATACAGTTTTGACATGTGTTTGCTCTATAAGACAAAGAAGCTTGGCCAATGGCTCCGAGCTTCAAATGTAACAGCTTAAGTACCACTCAGGCATTGGTTTGGCAGCTGCAGAGGTTTGTGTCAAAGTTATTAATATGAAAAGCAACATCTGTTTTGACACTTGACAAAGAAGTAGCTCTTGAAAGTAACTCTCAAATACAAGCATTTCACATTTCAAGGCTGTCATCCTCTAGTAGTCAAGGTTAATGTTTGTATCAGATATGCTGAGACACTGAAAGTACTCAATAACTTAAAACATTCTTCATTTCTGGGTTTTGACAAAAGCGCTAAGCGTTTTTTTAATGAGCGAGCATACAGTATGTCACTTGTCTAATGCTGTACAATGTTTCCCCATTTTTTTCAGCAGCGGCGCTTCTGTGTTTGGGGGGGGGGGGATTTCGCTGTTACTCCCACTCTCTAGCCGCTCATGGTGCTACGCTGTTAGGTTCGCGCTACATAGACCACGTATAAGCTTGAACGTTACCTTTCACATTGATGGAAAAGGGTCCGATAGGGTTTGATGCGCTCCTTGATGACTTAAAACAAGCTGAAAATTACGTCATCTGTTCTTGTGCTCACACAGTGTGAGTAGAAATCATTAGTGGCGCATTGATATTAATGATCATGTGAAATTTCAGTAGTGGCGCACGTAATTCAGCAGTGGCGCACCTGAATGAATGTTGGGAAACATTGCTGTATTACGATTAAATGTAATGTAAATATTCCTGTAATGTCACTTAAGCATTGCTACATTCCAGTTACCAGTCAGATGCTGGAGCTGGGAATGACGTTACACCGGAGTCGACAGTGTTTCTGTTAACAAGTTGGATGCCTACTGTTAGCCGTTGTTAGCTATACCAATTGAAAACAACGCATAACATGGTATTTTGCTCGCACAAACACCATAGTACCATGTCCGCACTTAGACGTTGGGCAGTACAACATATACGACTTAATTAATTTCACAAAAACAAAACAAAGATGCTAACAAATAAAAGATTACATGAGCTGTCACTCTTACTGTTTGCTGTTAATGCACGGCACTGCTATCTTGGATTATGACATTGTCGTCAAGTTGGGGTTGGTGAGGATTGTCTGACTTTCCAAGTCAGAAATTCGTCTTAAGGGGAGTGTTCCAGATGAATTTCCAACTAGGAACTTGGAAATTTTGACTTTCTAGTACAACTGGAAAATCGCATATGTTAATTGCTTATATTTAAAGCATTAGGCCATTTATCAGGTGATTTTTGATGGCATTTAAGTGAATGTGGTTTTGTGCCCATGTTTCTCTTCTCATTATCAAAAGGGCAAAAATAATGCATATAATCTTTCCTTTTTATTTCCAATGACTAAATGATCCCACTTGAAAAAACTGTCTTACGGTCGATATATAAAGGGAAAACCTTGTTTAACAGCTTAACCACGAAACAGGAATAACCAGCTCACACCTAAAAGCTGTGACTTTCACATGTGTGTAGTGTCTGATTTACATTTCTGAAGGACATTATTATTGCACCAACATTGTGCTGTGTTTGTAAGCCTGGGCATCACGCTGGGACTCTGAGGTGCTGAGTTAGGAGGTAAAAATCTGGCATCTCAAGAGTCTCGCGTGCCGTTGCCAGGCTGGGGGTCATTGCTTGTATTAATGAAGCATGGGAAACTTAACTGGCTTTTATTTCCCTCACCATCTGCACTCAGTAGCGCCGTATAGATGGAGTCTGTCAACTGAGAACAAGCCTCTCTTTGCAGTAGTAGTCTGATTTATGAGGCTGTGTGGTCGGATGATAGTACAACTGATGGTGACAAATGTGTGTACAATTATGTAAATATCCCTGTTTACCTAACACATCGGGCGTTGTGTCTCTTTATCATTAGGTTGAGACTGCTGGAAAGAAAGTGTAATTAACCTCATGTGTTTCTGTCTTTAACTAAGGACCTTTAAAGAGCTGATTGGTCGATCCAGATTGGAAACCGAATGGCGGCTAACAAATACTTGGACCTTGATGCGACTCAGTTTATTAATTGCACTTTTTATTGACAGCTTTTGTTGCAGTATACATTTAAATATCTGTTAGAAAAAACTGTTAAATGAAGTTTTTACACATTGCAAATAAATAATCTGTTGTCCTCCTCTGCAGAGATAAAAGCTCAAGAAACCGTTTAACTACAGAGTTGTCTTGCATCCAGATTTCTGTATTGATTTTACTCCACTAGAGTTTTTTTTTTTTTTAAACACATCACTACATCAGCTAAGAGAAAGAAAATGAGCAATGAAATAAATAAATTAATAAACAGAGCGTACAGTTTTTCTACTTGTGAGTTTAAAAATCTATATTTAAGCAGCCTGGGTCATGGATGCTTTCATGTGTTGCCATGGAATCCCTTTGGTCGGCAGAGACCCAGTATTAGTGGTTGTGCGTGTGCGAGTGTGTCTGTGTGAGAGAGCGATATAGACAGTATCTGTCTTCCAGATGTCACTCTAATGGGGCTGACACAGACCTGTGGGGACCTCAGACAATGTAGAGCACTGAGGAGGAATGTGTTCATTTCCAAATTACCTCCAGCTACTCCTCTTAAATGCTCTGCTGTGTAGCCTCGCAGTACTTCAGCCTTCTCTCTCTGCACTGTGGTTTATTTTTTCCTATTTTCTGTTTACTCAATCTTCCTAGAAATGGAACTGGGCACGTTTCAGACGGTGATTGTAAGTTCAAACATCAGCAGAATCCTCCGGGGTTCATTTAGCAGAAGAAAAAGGCAGCATCTTAACTAGCTCAGGCTGGTAAACAGGAAAAAAAAAAAACCTTGTATGCGTTTCCCACTTCGCTGCACGTCTGTTAGAGTTCGAAGGTCAACATCGAGTTCCGTTTACCACACAGGCTTGAAATGTCCAGCAGGAGTGTCAGATGCACCTGCAGGGCTGTTTGCATTTTCAGACTTTTGGCAAAGAGAGGAAGAAAATCATATAGAGCAAGAATGGAGCTAGAAAATTTGACAATCTGAAGAGAAAATTGTAAATAAAACGTCTGTGCACAATCCTAAACAGCTTTCTTTTAAAAACTTTCATTTCCTCACTGTAAATATTCATTCATACATTTACATGGGCTTACTAGAGGTTATAACAACTGTAGCAACTATATTAGCTTAGGTCCAAGACTAGAGGACATGAGTGTTACCTTGTATTTTTCACATTACAAGTATTCCATGAAGGTAACATGCAAGAGGTAACAGAAAATGAGTGAGTTGTTAGTGAATCAGAATCTCAGTTCTAAATGGAGAAGTCCTGCCAGAGATGGCCCAAAAAAGGAACTTTTGTTTTTGATGTTGTGTTCCCCAGTTTAGGGTGCTAAAAGTAACTTACATTGCTAACATGTTTACAGGCTTAGAATACAAACGGGAAGTTGCACTGTAAGTTGCCTGTAACTGCTGCAAGGGGGAGAAACACGGAAAAATATCTTGAATTACTTTATCCGCATCAGAATTTTCATGCTGAGTCATTAATTCCACAGTGAAATCTAGGGCCCAACTGATTTATCGGCGAGCCGATTAAATCAGCCAATTTTAGCCCGTTTGAGACTAATCGGTTTATCAGCATCAGCCCCAAAAAATACATATTGGTCGGGCCCTATAAAAACGCAATAGGATGAGTTCACGACATGACAATTCACACCACTTTCTGAAAAAAATCTGCAACAATGAGTTACCACTTAGTCCACAGGGGGCGCCAAAGTCAATATTAACAGAGAGTTCCTCACAAGAGCTTTAAGTATTGATCAGCAGTGCTTAAGAATCTTGACCCTGACAATTTTCCTTAATTTTGTTTCCCAGCAACTTAAAGCTTATAAATCATGTAGAAAAGAAAATTAAAAAGATTAAAAAAAAAAAAAAGGTGTAACTCAGTAAAAATGTAATCTACAGTTTAAAGAAAAACATTAACTATCGAGCAACATTTACAAGTAAACAAAACTAACATTTCTTCACCATTGTGTCAAAGTGCTTGCTCAGCAGAGTATGGCTCTTCAGTTAAAGCGTCATGACATTATACTTTCGGTATAATTGAGCGATTTTTGAGTTAAAATTTGTTGTATTTTAAACCGACATCTTTCAGTCCTTATCTTATGCTGACGAACACCCACACCCACCTGCCCGTGTCACAAGGTATTTTTATCAAATGTCATTCTCAGTGCTGCACCTATCACTTTGTGGGATTATCCCTGCCAAGTTAATTTAGAGCAGGAGTTTTTATATATCTGTGCAGGCAGCCGCTGCCAGTATGAACCTTTGGCGAAGGAGAGGAAATTTCACACTTTGTAAGATGGATGTGCTGTTGTAGTCAGAAAACCTCCTCCTTCCCTGCCCCCTCCCCTCCATTTATCAGGACGTGGCCAAGCAGGCAGGTAGAGTTATGATTAAACTGTTTTCTTTTTCTCTCTTTTTTTTTTTATTGCTGCAATCTATTCCCAGAGTTTACCGAGCAAGACAGACTATGATTTATGCTAAACCTCGCTCTCAGATTTCAGAGCAAGAAGGGCTGCAACCCTTAAAAATTAAGACACCATGCAATTAATCCTCCATCTTTAAAGGAGAGACCTGTTTATGCTCCCCTTTAATTTGTCGATTTAACCTTCCTGCTTGTCTGCTAAGCCTGGAGAATTTGTCCAAGCCTTCATTATAGTAGAGTCACATGCATAATGTAGCAAGGGAGAAGATAAAGCACAGCATCTTATAAGTTGAAAACCCACACTCGGAGTTAATATCATGGATCCACTGGGATGCCCTCCAGTTGCCTCACTAAAACTGTTCACAGTGGACTCAGTAATAGCCTACGTTTTGTTAATTCGCACATTTTTTTCTTGGCAGTCTCAGGCTAACGCTCAATCCGTGCACATATATCCTTTTTCTGGCAGGAGGCTCAGCGCAGTTTGAGAAGAAACTCTGACTGTTAACTAGGTGTGAAATGCTACAGCGCAGGATTACTATACGTCTCCTGAAAAATCGTAGGAAAGCAGGGAATTAGAGAGAGAACAGGAAGCCGCTCTGAATTGTCACAGCCTGTGGTGCTTTTCCTCATCGCACATCACCAGATAGATAGAGATAGTTTTGCAGAAGTCATTTGACTCCTTGCTCGGTGTCAACTCCATCTGAGTCGCTGCAGAGAGAAGCTTATCCAAATTTTAATTTCTTTTTAGGAAGTGGTCTAGTTTGATTTTGGTCTGAAGTCAACAAGACAGCGCTAACAGAAATAAAGTGTCTCCCAAGCCTCATTTGAAGGAATAAATTAGCTCCTCTTACGTTCCGCACTCTGTGGTCCGGTCTTAAGTTACTCCAGCTTATATGAGTCTGGGGTACAATCATCATTATCATCCTTTTCTTTCTGCTTGGAAACTACCAAAGGTTTTTAAATTTATGTGTCAATTGAGAACAATGAATCATGAGCAACACGAAGCATCTCAAGTGCCTCTTTCATTCTGTTATGATAAATGTGAGACTAATAACACCTCATCTCATTATGAATATATCACACCACTGTTGTGTAAACCCTGAGTGTCACGAATAAAAATGACATGTAGTTCAGAAATTTTAGAGTCACACCGCTGGCTGCTAACAAGCTGTTAAGTGTTTGCTAATTGAGCTTGAGTGTGATCGATTTAAAACAATTAAGTTATGATTTAATGTAATTCCCTGAGCCGGAGACGCTGAATACAAAGTCACCATCTTGAATAATGTCAGTCCCCCCCAGGTAAAAACAATGTGTCTTAACTTATAAAGACTGCAACGCCTCTACTTGATGGATGCTATCTTTCTATACTTGCTTTAGATATGTTAAAGGGATATTCCGGTGTAAAATTAAGTCAGTGTCAAACACACCGCAACACAGAGTTATACACCCTGTCAAGAGATGAATGTTGCTGACCGCTTGCTTCTCTAGTTATACCAACTTTAGTAACGACCGCAGGGTAGCAATATACAGCGGTCTGAGGAGCCGTAAACAAACCTCGACCAAACCACTCTATAGCCACAAATGATGCTCAGAACAACCTAATTTTACGCCTGAATATCCCTTTAAAAGGTCCAAAATACAGGAATCTGTGACCTCATAGACTTGCAAATATTTCAAAATTAATACTCAAAAGTTCCTCCTGTAAGTTATAATTTCTCATTTCAGCAAATTCAACCAATCACTGCAACTTTTTGCAATCAGCCAATTGCCCCAATGTTCCCATGGGCTTTATCATCTTCATCCCTGGACTCAGACATAGCTGCCTCTCCCATCTTGAAAATAACTCTTTTCCAGTTTTGCACTGGTTACATACATGCATTGCCATCCTCCCACTCGTGGTGAGTTTTGCCAAATATTTCCTGTTGAGATTCTCAAATTGGCTCGCTGCGGCTTCTTGCTGAAATTCCACTCAGGGGGCTGGCAGGAGAAAAAAATTCAGCTTTGAACAGCATTATATTTATGGAAACTATACAGTCTTGTTGTTTTGTTCTTGTGTTGAAAACTCTTAGTCATCCCTTTACAGCTACTTTCTGATACCTCTTTTAAGTCTACTGACCAAAGATGAGTCAATGCTAACCTCAAAGACTGGAGAGTTTGCACCAAAAACAATAGTGTGCATGTTGTGAATTAAATGCAGATTCTCCTTTTGCACGTATGGGAATCATTTTGATGCAAAGCAGGGTGAGAAATTAGCATTTCACAGCGATAAAGCTTTGTTTCCATCAGTTTCAACACACGGCATCCAGACACTGACAAACGGCTCACTCAGCAAACATATATAGCTGCTCATGTGTACTTAAGCATTTTATTCATGGGTGTTATCGCAGATCATCTTGAATCCCATGTAACTCATAAGTAAACGGTGTATTAGCCATGCTTGAATGTGCACCAGAGCCCGTCCTTTGCACCTTAAGACATGAAAACACATGTGCATGTGCATGACGCAAAGATAGAGCTTGCAAGAAGATGCATTTTGGCTAAAACTTGCATGCAAAACTCCTTTTGCTTAATATTTGCAACATTTTCTGTAAATGTAGCCCACATAATTTGCACTCAGCTGATTTTTAACGTACATGTTTGCTGCAATTTTTCCTTTTTTTATGTTCCATGCGACCGCCTTCTGTTGGAAACACACCATTTGAGCACTTACATCTGTCATGTTTTGAAACTCTTCACTTTCGAAGCCCTTAACATCTCATTGAAATGTTTACAGTACTAAAATACATACTTTATTTATACGCCACACAGATGTGCTGTAAAGGCACATTTCAGTAGCGGTTTACCGACTCGAAGTGCGGTTTGATTTCAGAGCACACAAGTGTTTACAGATGTGTCCTACATATGTAAAGAGTGTCAAAGGGAAACAACATGTGGATGGGAAAGTACCTTTTAAACTGCCATAGTGTTTTGAATTTAAATATACTCTCGGAAGTCCTACCCGCAACTTTGCTACTCCTTTGTAAACAAGTGCAAAGGTTTCCCTCTTCAATTTGAGCTTTTTCCCTCTCTTTTTCTCTGCGCTTTGGGTTCAGAGGGATTCCTCTACAAACATGAAACAGTCCCCGTTGGATTAATTACCAGATGCTTTTCCTAAAATTTCTGTCTTTTTCTTGTGTAAAAAAAAGAAGATTCACAGTAGATTGAACTTTGGTCTATATGTAGATTGGCTGTCTGTCAGGTCTAAAACAGAACGGGGTGAGCAGAAGTTGATGTTGAATAATTGAAGAGGGGTTGGTCTTGAAGACGAGGTCAAGATAGGTAAAAAGGCCACAGCTGATTTTTTTCCCCCTTCAACCGTCATCTCTTTAAAGCTTGTGCCTCTGGATTGATGCTTTCTAGTCCATATGTGGGAAGCCTTGTATTTTATCCACCCTCTAGGAAAGCATTTGATTACTGCGCTCGATTGAAGCATTACAAGCTGCAGTTGCCACCCACATTACTGGCAATTTAAAACACAAGAGATGGACCTTTAGGGGATGATAAGCTGATTGGCACATAACTCATGTATCCTAAGAACATCCACAACTCCCACGCAGCATTCAGCATCCATAAATTGTAGAGATATTTTCATGTATTTCATTCACTTTGCCCTTTTCTTCCTAACTTATATACAGTAAACCTCATCTGACAGCATGTGTTCTTGAAATAGACTCTCATTGTTTTAATCAGAGATGTGTAGCTGCTGTGTGCCAGGTCTAAATGTTCACACATCTGTTACTTTGGAAAGTCCCTGATCTTATCTGTCTATGTCAGTGAATTTGCATGCTTTCTGAGTTTTTAAGAGGTACAACCCAGGTCTGTTTAAAATGGAAAATCTGAAATCCACCAAGTAAACAACATTGCAAGCAGCTGCACCAGCCGACTGACTGGTGACCACAATCAGTCTCCGGTCGTTCAGAGATGCCAGTCCTCACAAATAAGACCCATCCTGTGGGGATCAAATGAGCCACATGTTTCATGCTATGAGCACAGCAACACAAACACTGACAGGACTGATGCGCACGCTCACACAGCAGCTAACAAGTAAGCAGTGAGGAGAAGCGATGCCTCACAGCAGAGGCAAAAAGAAAGAGAGATGAGTCGAGATCTAGATCCGGCACACTAATTGAGTTAGTTATGGCATTAAAATACACAAAAATAAAGATACTACAGAGTTTTTTTTTTAATAAAACCAATTTTCCAACAAAGAAAAGTTGTTTCTGTCAATCATAGTTTGTCAAACTGGGAAAAACTGGCATGGCTAAAATTGGAACCAGCAGGTCAGATCTTGATAAAAATCCAAAATCCGCACACGAAATCGCAATCCCTGTATTTCTGATCCCTCTGATCTCTCCTGTGTCTTTGATTTCAACCTGTATCTCAAAATACGTCTACAAGAGAGCAAGCAAAGAATATGATCAACATGAACAGCATAAAGCCAGAGATAAAAAGGAGAAGCTGCATTAAAGTGACTGGAAGATCACAAAAAAATCTCCATCGGTTGCAGATAAAAGTGCAGAAAACATAAAAGGATGTCTTAGGATTTATTTGAATTCATCTGAGTATACATTTCTAAAGTTAGATAATAAGTTACAGACACAACAAATATAAGTTCATACTGATAAATTATTCATTGGAAGCTGCTCAGTAGCAGAGCTGTTTTGCATACGCCCCTCAAACCTGAAGCTCCTTTTCATTCACGGAAGGAATCCTTGATTATTTCTGTGTTAGAAACGCAGCTCTTCAGATCAAATTACCATCATTTGTTCTCAATGTGACGCAAAGCAGTCTCCCGTTGCAGATATGACTTTTAACCTCTCCTTTACCATCTGAATCATCAGTTTTTTTGTCCAAAGTCAGCTTCATTGTACATGTTCTGAAAACCCCACGCTATGCATGACATATCCATTACCAAAATCAATAATTTAGATGGCAGCCATTGTTTTTGCGTGCTTTTTAATCACACCATCATAAGCACTTACCCACCCCAGAAGGCGGCCTGGCGGTGGGAGGCTGGCGGTGAAATTAAAATAATGAATAAAAGATAAGACAGGACGGAAAGTGCTGAACCGGGGACTGAGCGGCAGTTAAGAATCCAGGGCAGAGGCCATGATTTTCAGCGCCTCTCACTGTGGCGTTTGTGCCTAAAAGACTGTGTAGATAATTTGACCCGGCGGCTCCTCAGTAGGGTCACGGCCGGGTCCTCTGGTCTCCTTCGGGGGGGTTCTGCTGCCTGACTTCCTGGAAGATTAGATTCTGATCTGTGGTCAGCAGTGTGTGTGATCTGCGGGAATGTGACGGATGACTTCTCCCCGGGTAATATGGCGAATGAGCCGGCTCTAGATGCTGATCTTTTCGTCTTGCTTGGGCCGTATGGTTGAGATTTACATGATGAGATTGGGCTGCAGCCCCCTTGGGGGCACTGGAAAAGGAAGTGACATATTTGACAGGTCATGGGGTGGCTGCTTGCTCCATTATCAGCGTGGCTCCGTGGTACTTTGCAGACATGTAGTTCAATGCATCCCCCTTTTCCAGATGTGTTTTCTTGCACTCCTGAGCCATTGTGGGGATTAATTTCATGCCTCAGTAACTCGCTTTGGTTCTCGCTTCATTTACGCCCACAAATGATGCGTTTTCCAATCGATTGCATTTGTTTAAAAAAAGACACTTCACACTTAAGTCCTGTTATTTTCATTCTATCATTATTTTGGCTATTAATATGATAATTATAAAGACATTTGGAAAATAACGATTCAAAACATGCTGCTGTAAAGAAATGTTTACTTTGCGAACACAGCATTCTGCTCCTCTTCACTCCTGTTAATGTCATAATCAAAGCCGCTCAATATCAAATGTATAGGTTTGGCTTGAAACAGTACCAATGAAGATGTGATATCAGTCTTATTAAGTGTAGGAAAAAAAGTCTGATTGGAAATAAACATCTCAGACCCCGCTTATAGAAATTGATGTGTAAAGTATTTCCTATAGCAGCACGGGTGCTGTGGAACACACTCTGATTGACGTCTTCCTGGCTCTGCACACAAAACAAGTATGACATATGAGTTAACAAAGTCAATATGAACCAAGAGTTATTATATGATTTGCAATCCATATCAGAGTTAGTGAGCACATGCTCACTAATGTTGGCTTACTGCCTCCATTAGTCCCTACATCAATATATGAAATGCTTTTCAAAAGGTCAGAGCTACAGTAACAAATAGACGGACTTACCCTTTAAATTTGCAGAATGTCTGGGTTTAATTGACTAAATAAATATTATCACTCCTGAACAGATATTTGCCATTTCTATACAAGTACACCCAAAATGAGTGTCTGTCAACTATTGTGTCTAAGGCTATGTTCACACTGCAGGTCAATTCCAATTTTTTAACCATATGTAACACATACCTGATTTTTTCGTGTCAGTGTGAACAGTGCAATTCTGATTTTTTCAAACCCAACTCAGGCCTCTTTTGTATGTGGATATAAATCGGATATGTATCCGATGTGACTGCAGTGTGGACACTCAGGTTGCATTTATCCGACCTATACATCATCAATATTATATCATCAATGATAACCCTAATGTGAACGACCGCACAAAAAGATCAGATTTAACAAAAAATATGAATTGTGCATCATAACCTGCAGTATGAACGTAGCCTATGAAACCACCAGTCCACAGATAAGGCTGAAGCATTAGCTTATAGATGCTACCATAACGCTAAAATCCTCAACTACCTGGATGTAAACAAACACATAAAAACAATGCCATCCTTCAGGGCACTGCAGTTTTTTGACTTTGAAAATGCAGCTTTCAACAATTCCTCTCCCTCTTTCTTTCTTTCCTTTCCCCGAATTTCGACCCTAATTCTCTCTTTCCCACTGCCATCTACTTTAAATAACCTTCAGCATGGACCCTTCAGCACGGACACTAAATTGACTTCTGCTTTGAAGAGAACCGAATCAATAAATAAGACAACCGCAGGTACACATGTTCATCAGTAGCAAACACAGACTGTCACTGGAACAAATTTCAAAACATCAATTTTTACTGTGGGAGTGATGTTCTCTTCTTTTGAATCATTCATTACTTTAATAAATTGAAAACTTACCAAACTCAGACCTTGTATCATTCATACTGTTTGAAAAAGCTCCGAAACCACATTCTGCGGTGCATGCAAAACTTTCATTCTGGTAGCGATTCACAATCCATTACTCTCGCTCCAAGTTGTTCTTTTCCGTCTTTTGTGGTATGATAAAAAATACCTCGCTACTAAAATTTATTCTCTGACTAAACTCGCTTCTTCATGGAAGTAAAAGGTGAAAAAGTAAAAGCTCTGAAATATCCTCATCGTACAGGAGTGAAGAGTGGTGCTCTGAAGAAAATTTGTATAGCTCATATCATATTATATATATCACAAAGCAACGGGTGACTATAGACTTCATCCATGTCTTATCCTATATAGTCTGTGGTTTCAGAAGAGAGGGGGATCTCTTGTTACTTCAATATCTCTGAGCCAAATTAAAACAGCCTTGACAGTGTGGGCGCCCATGTCATCAGTGGTCATTTATCACCATCCCTCTTCAGCCTATCGGAAGGCTTCGTCCGTGTCACATATCAGCCTGACATTCAGGGCCGTGTCCCCCTCACTGTGGCCTCATGCTGAACCTTAATTATTGAGAGTGTTCCAGTGGAAAAACATTTTTGTCTGCCGCTGACACAGCAGTGACACATCCTTTATTCTTCATCAGACTACTTCTGTTGCCCTAGCTGTACTTCCTGTGTTTTTGGTGGACACCAACCAAAATCCACTTCCCGTCTTTTGGAAATGTGAGGAGGTCACTGTAGGGGGCATGAACAGATGGGAGAAGATGTACCAAATGTGTGTTTACAGGCCTTTGGCTAGTATTGGCTTTTACAGTCAGCTCTTTAGTTGTTTGTGTGAAGAGGCCATAACAGGAAAGTGCTTGGGTCTGCAGGCGGTACAGTAATTCTGCTTACAGTCTGAAGCTATTATCTGTTTACTTTACTCTTCAGTTCTTTGCTTATTTGCTTTGGGAGGATCTGTAAGTGGGCCTACAGGGGAAATGGCAGGGAAATGCTTGGTGGAAGGGCTTGTTCCTGAATGACAAACTGTTTCTTTCGCCTGGCGCTGGATGGTTGGAGTCAGTCAGCGAGAGAAGGTCGAGAGCATTCCTGCTCAGCTGCACACGGAGACTCTACGGACAGACTGTGCTCTTTCTCAAGGTCTCCTGAGTGTCTTCTTCGCAGGGTTTTCAGTCCACTCTGTCATTTTGTGCTCACGGTTTATTTTCTTCTACAGCCTGAATGCAGCAGAAAAGGACCTATCTCATTTCACCTTTTCTTTCTGGCCTTGTGGTTGCAAAACAACCGCGCAGCCACTTCATGATTATGCTGTGCACATTCCACTTATGTAGAGCCGTTTTTATTCTCTTCCACTGTCACAGATAAGAAATATTCAAGGTTTTATTCCCTGTAAAAGGAGACGGTAACGACGCAAAATTCAAGGTGTACTACTCTGCCAACCCAAATCAGGAATAATCACTTGTTTGCAGCTCTTATTTGCCAGTCAGTATCGAATAACCTACTCAGAACCTCGCTATGTATTGGTGCAACGGAGCATGAATACGATTTGCATCCATGACACCCTGATTTCCTCTCCCATTATCCATGCATCGTTTATATAACTCATGGTTTCAAATTGAGCATCCAGTTATCAATTTATCAGAGGGTTTAATCATTTTTATAATGATTGTTTGCTATTAAATAGAACAACCCTGCCAGAGCAAATCGACTCACTTGATTGAAAATAATATAAAGTACTGCTCTACATCTCAATCTGCAATATTACCTCTTATCTGCCTGTTGCTGCGGTAGATAGAGGAAGTTAAAGCTATTACGCTATATAAACACCACTGATGGATAAACAATGATAGATATTTTAGAGAGAAGTCCACCTCCTTCTTTTATTTGACTGCCTAAAGATGAAAACTTAATAGAGGAATATTAATCAGCGCTCATACAACAAAGCCATCACCATAAATGTTGTTGTGACGCTCTAATACCACAACCCTTAAACAAGCACAGACGACAAGTGGCATCTGGTTGTTTGGATGTATATTGGTCTGGTTTATGTATGCTGTGTCCGATTAAACTGGTATACAATAACTGGACCAGAGACATGAGTAACCAGCACAGGCATATGGAGGTTGATCTGGAATATGGTTGAGTTGTGTTGAGTTGTATTTAGTCTCTTTGCTAAAGAAATTAGGCAAAGTTAAAAGGATGTTTGGTGGCTAGTACTATGGCTGGGACCCTATATGTATTGTTGATGAAGTTAGGTGCTGTTCTGAGCATTATTTGTGTCTATAGAGTGGTGTTTTGGTTGAGGTTTGTTTATAGCTCCTCAGACTGCTGTGTATTGCTATCCTGCGGTCGTTACCAAAGTTGGTGTAATAGAGAAGCAAGCGGTCCGCAACATTCATCTCTCGAGGGGGTGTCTAACTCGGTGTTATGGTGTGTTTGACCCTAAATTAATTTTACGACGGAATATCCCTTTAAGTCAAATTGGTTGGAGCATCTCTTCCTCTTATCTTGATTTATTGACCTTAACTTGAGTATTAGTTGATTTCTTTAGAGGACTAGCATAATTGCAGAATATAAAAAGTAGTGTAAACCAATTTTACAAAAAAATATTACATTTGTGAGCCACCTTCTCTAATAAATCTCAATTAAAGAAAACCTGTGGTTGGAAAATGCCAATTGCTGACATGTAACTAGCTCATTACCATTTTTCGAGGAGTATCTATTGCATCTCAGGTGTAGGTAACAGACTCAGAACAACCCAAATGGTGGGTTTTATGGGACTGACTGCTGGCACCTTTCTTTGTATCAAAACAGAAAGAGCATTTCAGGTCCCATTAGCAGGCCATACCATTTATATCATCTATTTCAAATATCAGAGAGCCTCAGAAGTGTGCTTCCAACTGCACAGGCTGCTCCTCTAGCCAGGTATGATGATTGTCCCTTGGCTGTGGTTGTTAAGAATTGATGACTAAAGAGCTGTGGTGTGTATTTGTCATTCCAGTTGTCAGAGAACATTTACAGAACTATGAAACCTGACCACAGAATATGCAGCTAAGAAAAAATATCCCTACACCCTGGAAGTTAAGTTTAGTTTAGTCTGTTTATGCAGCCCTGAGGTCATTTTTCTTCTTGATCAATGCCCCGGAAAGCAAATTTTTACTTTGACAGGATAAGAAGAGAAGAAATTGGAAAGCTTTGGCTGTGATTGGTGCTTTCATTTAAGCACAAAATAGACAATCTGTCCATCAACACTGTAGCTATCCCCCCCCAAATAATCAATCATTCTTTATTGACAGCAGTAAACACAAAGAGAGGATTGTTAAGCAGAGATGAAAAGACAAAGAGACAACAATAGATTTTTTCAGATTGGTTATTTTTTCTGAGCGGAGACAGACAGCTCAGAGGGTGAATTTAAACAACAGAGTTTAAACAAATGTTCCCGCTTGTCTCACTGATGTGTGCTTGAATGACAGTGCAGACAGTACTGAGAGGTCTCTCTCTGATGAGTTATTAAGGCCGCGGCAATTCCATTTCCCCCTCACAGGGAGGGAGCCATCAGCACAGCATGCAGGCCATTACCGCTGATGTCTGTCTTTGAAGTTAATTACACTCATTCTGAATCGGAGTTATCTGACTGGTCAATGTGTTTGATCCCTCCAGTCAGATGACACTTATAATTGGAAGTTTTGTTCCCCGGGACTCCCAAAGTCAGAGACGAAGACTAAAATATTAATGGTCTGAAACACAAGGCGGCAAGATTGTGAAAATTATGCTCTAACAATAAACAAACTACGTCAGTAGGAAGCCAACTAGGCCAAAGCCCAGCTGGCTACCTGATAATAATAACATATTTACCTGCCAGTCAGATCAGAAGAGCCTCAAATCATTCCTGGTTATGCATTTAGAAAATAAATAATAAATTAATCTCCATAATTGTTGTTTATGATGTGTAGAGAGCAAAAATATTTTAATAAACATGCTAAACTCTGCAGTAGAGATTGGCACATGAATGTGGGCTCCAGTGAGGTTTCCTTGGCCGTTCAAGCCAGACTCACATGAATGCTCAAAAACCCTTTTTTGCGTTTGTGTACTGGTTTCATTTTCAACACCAGAGGCTGCTACTTGGTTCAACCAAATGGAAACCTCCAGTCTCGAGATATGAAGTCGATGCAAAAGTGCTAATTACGGCAGTTCCTCAAGTGAACCCTTGAGATTTGCTGCAGAAGTAGGGCTGGGGGATATGGTCTCAAATCAATATCACAATATATTGAGCAGTTCACCTCAATAACGATAAACGGACAATAACTACTCCACAAGCTGCTCACCCCCTACCACATTTACTTTGTCAACTTTAGATGCCGCTACAACTTTTGAACTGTCCTCCATCTCCTCACCTGTTTTTCGCTCTTTGTTACGGACTGAATGGGGTGGAGTCACGTCTCTGACGTAGGACAGCGTCTTAAAGAGACATGAGACCATAGCCTACCTACACACATCCAAAACCAACTTTTATTCATTTATTAATTTTTTTGACTGAATTGGTTAATTTTTGGTTTATCGTCCAGTCCTATGCAGAGGCATACAGCAGCTACATCTTTGGTTACAACTGGTGGTGGAAATGAAGCCACTACAGCCCCTGGTCAATGTGTAGGGGTTTTATGCTATAGCCAACATATTCCAAATATCAGAAGATCCAAAATTCAAGTATCAGCTGGCAGTAAACCCAATGTTCAATTAATTCCATTGTTTTAAGTGTTAAAGTAATTATAAAGCCTGAACATTGGCATTTACCAGGCTAAGAGTTCCAACTGAGCTGTTTCTTACATGTAAAAAGTCACTGTTGATTGTTTCTTAAAGTTTTAATCTTTAAAACCTTCAGTCAAAAGGATTTTCAGAATTCCAGTTTTCAGAAACTGAAGAAATTGTGAAGTGTTTGATCAGGCTTTAACACTAGAACAATGCTGAAATTAAAAGTAAAAAGTCTACAGCCTTCAACTAACCTTCAAGCTTGAAAGCAAAAAACTTCAACCTGACTTCAAGCGTATGTATTTTTAAGTGACTCATTTCTCTGACATGCAGTGGTCAAAAAGCACTAAATCACTTCAGAAGTTTCGAATTCCTCTTTTACATGGAGAAATGTCAAAATCCATATTTTGAACCATCATTTGAAGGTCTGTCGGCTTAAAAGGTAGCTGATGCAACCTTGTGTCCTTTTGTCCGCTGCCCTCCAGCCATATTTCTGCTGCCGTTTAGCTATTTCATCACGTTTGATGGACAGGGGCAACGAATTTGCTTTATGAATAGAGCAGATCTGTCAAGCTGCCAGTCCCCCCACTGCTACAGTTAGCAGACTGATTGATTTAGATGCAGGATCCCTCGAGAGTGACATTGTCTCGTCAATGACAAAGTCCCTTTTTCCTGTCTCTCTCTCTTCATCTTCCTCTCTCTCTCTTTCTTTCTTCCCTCTATCTTCGACCCTAATTCCCTCTTTCCCACCGCCATCTATTTTAAATAACCTTCAGCATGGACACTAAATTGACTTCGGCCTTAAAGAGAACAGAGTCAATAAGCGCTAATAGCATGACAACCACAGGTACATATGTTCATCAGTAGCAAACACAGACTGTTACCTGAACACATTCCAAAACATCAATTTTTACTTCAAGAGTGATGTCCTCCTCTGTAAAAAACAAACTTTTTACTCTTTTTCAATAAACTGAAAACTTACCAAACTAAGACCTTGCACTATTCAGACTGTTTGAAAAAGCTCTGTTACCACTTTCTGCAGTGCATGTAAAACTTTCATTTCAATAGCGATTCATAATCCATTACTCTCGCTCCAAGTTCTAGTTTTCCTTCTTTTGTAATACGATAAAAAATGTCTCGCTACTGAAGTTTATTTTCTGGCTTAACTTGAAAAGATTTCCATATCGGGAGTGTGCAAAAAGTAGAAGAACAGACACTTCTTCGTGGAAGTAAAAGGTGAAAAAGTAAAAGCTCTGAAATGTCCTCATAGTACAGGAGTGAACAGTGGTGCTCTGAAGAAAACTTTTGGAGCTCATAACTCAGAATTCCTGAATAACGACATAGGACACACTAAAAACAACAGAACTACTTTTTAGTTTGTAGTTTTTACTGCTGTAAGCTCTATGTTTTGTTTCCATACATGTAATTTTTTAAAGGTTTGGTTTCATAAGTACCATTTTTGTCATGTCATAATGGTTGTGTGTGTTTACTCTGTTGTTTTAAGAATTGTTAACACATTGGTTGGACTGAAATCGCACCAAGTCAAACTTCTTTAAGTCAGACTAGCATAGCTTAATAATGTGGTTGAGATTCAGCATTTCTCCTCCAGGCTAAGTGTCAAAAATGAATTCAGGAATCAGTCTTGTGGCTGATAATCTCAGTTTAACATTTTACAGCGCCTTCAAGAGGCCTTTTGAATATTCAAAAAGTATGAATCTCTAATGTTTTCATTAATTAGAAGAGTAAACACTCTAGTGAAGAGCAGATTTGTGCAAGCTCTTTCTCGGCTACTGTCTCGCCTTCATTCCTAACCACTTTCCCTGGTCTAATCCGACGTTTTGCCACGGGGAACACTTTATTATTAAGAACCCTCCTTTTTCTTGAACAAAAGTAGCAGTTAGAACTTCTTCAGGGTTGGAAATCGTTCCTTTCAGAGTGGCGCTCGATTTCCCTCCACCTGGATCCCGGTGAGTCTGTTGCTGGGACGTGATGCTGAGGGCACAGCTGGGGGTAAATGACACTGCTTGAGCGGGGAGGCAGGCGCTCTCCAGCCGCCCTCTTATCAGCTCTGCTGCGAGCTCCGTGAATACAGAAAAGTGCGGTGGGTGTAGGCGATGGTGATGGTGGTACTGGTGGTGGTAAGGGGGGCAGACAATATCGGGAGATGTGAGGAGGAGGACTGATGACTCACTCTTATCTTATGATATATGCGAGCAGAAGCGGGCAGCAGGTGTAATATACGTCAAACTCGGGGCAGATTCCTGCTATTTTCAAAGTGTGAAGGTGTGAAGCATTACCAGAGGCTTTGAGCATATTCCCCAACATTCACTTCATACTTTTAAAAAGTGTCCTAGACCTTCAGCTCTGTTTGCTGTCTGTCATTATGCCATATTGTGTTCTGCCATCCTGTTGGCTCAGCTCCAAACACAAAGAAAGCCTCAAGGATAAAACTCGTCGTTCCTGCTGCAGGAGCATTATCATTAAAAGATCCTCCATTCTCTCACCCTTTAGACACTGGCCTTCCTGTTATCTGTGCATGGCTGTTGATCCATGTGACTCCACAGTGAGGAATACATTTTCTGATAATATAATCCCTCCTTGGGTCCAGACCGGGTATCTTTTATATTCGTGTCCCACCCCAGGAGACTCTGACACGTGGCCTTGTAGTTCCTGGGCTGCACGCATCCCCTGGTCCTTATCGCTCCTTCCATATTGTGACTCTGATACACTCGGAGGATGGACTGGCAGCTCGGGGAGTGTGACGCCGAGCTGCCTGATTAAAACGGGAAGTGTAACAGGAAGTCTGGGGGATTGGTTTAACCTTCCGTGAAGAGATTATTGCTCAATAATTAGTCACAATCAAAAGTGTGTCATTTTCCATGTGACTGTTTGAGCTGAGTTGTCATTTACTGGATTTCTTGTTACTCTTTTGTGGTTTTTCAGATCATCAATATTTAAAACGGATAAGCATCTTTCACCTTTGCTCTGCACTTTATCTTCCTCCGTCTAGTTTATCTTCCCTTTTTTCAGCCTGAGGTTATATCTCTGGGACTGCAGAAACAGTCATTAGGGACAGTCATTGCCAGAAAGCGTTGCCGTTTGACTGTTTTCAAGACAAAGCGTTATATTTTCTGACTGGGAAAAACTGAAGGGTGAGATGACGAGGTCTTGCGGGGAAAGATTCATCTTGAAACTTAGATGGAAGATTTTCTTTTAAGTAAGGGTGCGTGGCCTTGTGCAGAGTCCCAGTTCAGACATAAGCTTCAAAAACCTCAAATAGACGAAACAACAACAACAAAAAAATCATGTCTGACCATGACAAAGTAATACTCCTTTGGCAATCATCAACACAATGGGACTTTTCAGCTGTGCAGTCTTTATATAATGATGATTATAAGTCACTTGTTCACTGTTTCCTTCCAGCTACATCAGGGGATAATTATATTACATTAGTGCCATCTTTTTTTACATTGTTTCCAAGTCTTTTAGAGGGAAGACTTGGAAAGTACTGACTTTAACAGACTCTGGCAGCATTTTCGGACATAAATTTATGAGCAGAACGAGATTTGTGAGCTGTTAAGAGCAAGGGTATATGCTATGAGTTGCCTTTAACAGTGCGGTCTTAATGGATATACACCTTTATAAAGATAAGGGTCGATTAGTTTGGAGTTCACAGATCAGGGCTGTGACTTTGACTTGTCTTTTGCTGTACTTCCCTTTAAAACTGAAGAAGAAGCAAAGTTCAGAGTTTTCTTGGCCTGTCTTTCCTTTCTTAGTCACAGTATTGCGTCAATGGGTGATTGAAATGTTTCGTTTTAGGGTAAAGGGTCATTTCAAGTCATTCTTGCGTTTTCAAAGTTGCTACATCAGCTAAAAAATTAAACTGAGTCAACATTGATTCCTGGTTATTTCTTAATTTCTTTTCCGTTTTCTCACACTAGGCTAATGTCAGCGGATGAGGTGGGCTGTCCTCCATATTTCATCATGGACTCCAACCCTTGGCCATTCCTCCGCCTCAAAACCACCCATTCGGCTGGCTCCTTCTCCACAACATCCCCCTGTGTCTAAGCTACGACACCTGGGACTTACAGGCTGCTGACAACATGACACAGATGGACTACAAATATAGCCTGTTGGGCTCCACAGTGGATGACTACCGGAAGAGGCCTCTGATCCTGCAGGTGGATGACACTCCGATGAACCTGTTTGCGGTCCTGGAGGTGAAACGGGAGCTGCCAAGACGTTGGAATACCCTAGGCTGCTTTCGTAAGATCCGTCTCTACAGCTTCCTGTTTGGCTTGGCTGTAATGTTCCTCATCATGGCTTCGTACATCCTGACAGGAGACAAGAAAGGCCTCCTCCTCACGCCATCCCCTTATCACTTCAGCAGCCTGGTCAGCCCGGGACCTTTTGCCTTCAACCTCTCTTCGGTCAAAGACTATGCACATATCAAACTGGTAGTGAAGTCTATCACGTCCAAGGTGGAGTTTCGTAGCAGGCGGCAGCTCCCAGAGCTCAAGGCGCTGGTTAACAGTGAGCCACATGTGAGTATATAAAAGCAAAATTTATTCCATCTCCGTTTAACTATCCAAAGATATCTTGAGGATGCAAACTATATCAGACATTTAATTTGTCATCAGGTTGACTAATGTCATGAATCCCCGTAGCGTTTCATAGTATCAATGTTATCTATCTAATTAAATCATCATACAAACACAGCCCAGCATGATATTGATCTCTCTTTTAATTGCCAATCACAGATGTAGGTCCTGAAGCGTAATTAAAGGCAAAGAGAAAAGGTGATTCGAATCAGCATTCGTGCCTACATGTCGTCTACAGGGGGTTTAATGCAGCCACCCTGTTGTAATTCCCCAATGGTTGCAGTTTCTAATTTAATTTATAAAGAGATAAAACTGCTCAGCAAACCTTGTACAACACCTCATGTCACAGCAGATAATTGCATATGTCTCTACCAATTTTTTCCTCCTCAGAAGGGATTTAAAGTTCAAAGTCATCCCAGTCTTCCAACACATCGGCTCCAGCAGCTTTCCCGAAGTGTCCGTCTCACCTCAAAGCCTGCTTCAATTAATTGCTAATTCTAATGATAATGGCTTCTGCCAGGGCTATTTGCAACATAACTAATTTCTTATTGAACCAGCTAATGAATGGGCCAGTGTAGGAGAGTGTGGCCGCAGGACAATCAATACCACATCTGTGGACGTATCCGGCATTAATTGTCCTCAAAGTAGCTGTGTCTCACAGGCACTGAGTGAGCCGTAGTTACATGGGCTTGTGTTGTATTTGATCACACGAAAAAAAAAACCACAAAAACGCTTTGAAATGCGAGGAGAGGGGGAGACCAGAAGTCGGAAACGTCTTGTCTCGCTCCAACATCTGAGGATGAGGTTGGTTTCCTTTCCCAGGGCAGATTGGGTAACTTCATGTAAACTGCTGTCAGAAAGTCAAAGAGCAGATGTTCTCATTGAATTTTTTTTTCCACAGTGGTTCAGATCCTTGAATATGAAATGAATCAAACTACAAGGTTTCAGTATTAAGGGCTTACAAAGCCACATTTTAGGTGGTTATAAAAACAGACGATCATTTTTAAGGTTTTATGCCTTGATGATAGTGACGTATCATCAGTGTATTTTTGCTGAAACCAACAAACTGAGAATTACCTCAAAGAACTGCGTCAAATTCGGCTTAAATATCAGCAACAACTAAAAAGGGGAAGTGGGTAACACTTCACAATAAACATAACTTATAAATGGTAAATAGACCATTTAAATGATGATTAAACATTAATAAACTATCTATTTACCATTCATAAATTACGGTTATTGTTAAGTGTTACCGTGAGTAGAATTTGGTGATGAAAGGTCAAAGGGAAGCTAATATGACCTCGCAAAAGGTCAGCTTTACTCTGATATCACAGTGTGGTTAAAAAAAACAATTTCTCCAGCTGTTATTTCAGTCTCAAACAATACTACTGAGATTACTTTCTACATTTGCACCTTGTTTTTTTCTCCAGACAATAACATGTTCTTAGAGAATCAGAGGAAGATATAGTCTGGAGTTACATCCTGTATTAAAATGATTGTGGTCTGACTTCTCTCTTTTAATAAAAGCGGACTTCTGCTGCTGCTTTGTTTTATGATAATATTCCTGTCCTTGCCAGTCACGCTGTCATTGTGTTTGAAACAATGACAGATAGATCCTGACTGGTGGGCGGAGGCACACAGCTGCTAGGTGGTACTTCATGTTTGTTTGAAACAGAAAAAAGTTCTTCACTGGCCAAGTCAGTGTCCTAGCTTCAATGCGGCACAAAACACAATAGATCAGGGAGAATGTGTGGATGGTGGCTGGGCATCAAGGGTGAAAACAAGAGTTCATGCTGATGTTGTCTGGACTCCAGCCCTCAGGTGGATACTGAGTGCCAGTTTTGATATGAAGTATTAAAAACAATGGTTTAATGAAGTTTATGTGAAATGCCTAACAAGGTTTCCTGCCACCCAAAACTGAAGGACCGTGCATTGAAAATTCCCTCGAGTTCAGAGCCAACTTAACAAATAGTGTCAAAATGTCTAAATACTGTCTGGCTGCCTCTCTTTGTGTGTGTGTGTGTGTGCGCTCACTTGTGTCAATGTGCCGGTGAATTTAAAGCCAATTTACAGTGAATCTGCCTCTCCAGAGACTCTTTACTCCTGCACAAACTTGTCGTGAAACGTTCAGCTGGAACCCACACAGACGGTGGTTTCCTACACCTGCCAAAACAGTGGCCTGTACTAGAAAAGAGAAGAAAAAAAAGGTTTTGAATTGTTTAAACAAACCGCTTCCTTTATGGGATCAGGGAAATGGCTGGAATGTGTTTATGCTCCAAGGCTCAGCTTTGGGAGTCATCATTTTAAGAGTTTACAAGAGCTTGTCTGAAATGGCTTTTTATATATTTAGTAAATATGGTCACTCTGAAGTTTAATGCGGCTTGCTTTCTTTTTCCTTCGCAGATGTTTTCTGTTATCCCCCGCAAATTCCTTCCTGGCATCAAGAACCCTTGCTGGTACGAGGAATACACTGGGAATATCACTTTGGACCCTTACAGGACAAATTTGTACGCACGCTACTCGAGGCGCTTCCGGACGGTGTTTCAGCACTTGAGGAACACTTTCCGGGAACACTTGCTCCACCGCGATGGGAAACTCTACCGTATGCGGTGCCTTCCTTTTTTCTATATCATTGGACAACCAAAGTGTGGCACCACAGACCTGTATGACAGACTGAGGCTGCACCCTGACGTCAAGTTCACCACTTTTAAGGAGCCGCACTGGTGGACCCGCAAAAGGTTTGGTGAGTAAAGAAAACAGAAGTGAGTCCCGTGGGTTGGTACACAATAATGAAAGCCCGGGAGCATTATTAGCATGAGTATTAGTATATCATTTTGTCAGAGCAATACCTCAGGGGGCTCCAGCTCAACAGCTGATGCTTGAAGGGGTCTCGGCTCAAAGGCAAGCTCGTCTAATTCATGAGTGCAGTTTAATTATCTCCTGCATTCATAATAATGCCATTGTTTTCTTTAGATTTGTGGACTGTGTTGACTAAAAACCATCATTTCTATTGATTGCAGTGATAAAACACGGGGACACACCATTTTAAAAACTCCACACAGAGTCAAATTGATCGTTTTCCAATATCAAATACACCAAAAACTGAAAACAATTGTTTTGTTTTTTTTCATTAAAACCTATCTGGATGTGCTTTGGGCCTTGAATGTGACATGAATTAACCAACTCTGATGCATGCAGTTCAATCTCCCAATGCAATTAACAAAGAAATGAATATTCAAGACCCATCGCGCGCTGTGCATAATAAACGTAAATGGTTTATTTTCTACCTGAGAATTGTTAGCCTGAGATTTACAACTCTAGTGGAGTATTTATGTTCCTGATGACCTCTTTAATGGTCTTTTAATTTCCTCCTCTTCCTTTTTACACTATTATAATCCTTTTATTGTACATTATTCTTTTCTTGCTACACCGGTGGTTGAGCTCATCCTGTGACAACGCTCATTTAAGGCTCACCTAGGACTGTATCGAGCCCTACATCTCAACTGAATGTAGTAGATGCCTCTGTGGTAGAAACCACTTGAAAAGTACACGTTGAAAATGCAGAGTCTGAAGCCTCCTCGCACGCTTTGAACCCACATGTGTGGGTGCACCGTTTCCTGCACTTGTTTGGCAAATGTTGCACTCGTTCCTCACGACACTTCTGCCCACTGTAAACTTTGTTTTCCTTATCTCGTTTCAGTTTACAGCTCCCTCTTTGGGTTTTATCCTCTCATTTATTGGAGAAACAGAGCAATCACAGATTTATTTAATTAGAAAGCAAATCATCTCAATTTACGAGGAAGCTATGGCATATTGAACAAATTCTTTGAGGGATATTTCGGAGCGTTATTACTCTCTACTTTTCTGGGAATATTTGCCAACTTTTTTTGGTGGAGATTTATCCATTTGCAGAAGCAGTTTTCACTCAGACTACACCCAACCGACTCCCCACAGCCCTTGCTTCTCACTGTTGGTTGTCTTAGAGTTTGAACAGGTGGTGATATGTCAGTTCCCCAAACAAAGAGATAAACCCTCAAACTGTGCGACGAGAGTTAAGAGCCGCCTCCGAGCAGACATCTGGTTGTATGGCGGCTCTGCTTTCTAAATGTGTCGACGCCATCGTGTGCTTCTCCTTCGCCATGTGCACGTGTGATGAACCACCCACAGCAGATGGGATTAAAAGCCAATGGATGATCTTGGAGTAAGACTGAGAGCTTCTGTGTTTAACAAAATCAAGCCGTATTTATCCTACAGATGCTCCCCTGCATTGTTATAGTCTGGTTCGGTGGCTTCTCATGCCCTGGCGATTCTGAATTTGTTTTTCCCATCTAAGAAAATTAATAGATAATCAATATTCTTGGTAGCAGGAGGTTTTAAAGTAGCTCAGAATCGAAATTCATCTTCTAGTTAGCTCTCAAATGAAAGGAAATCATCACTGGCGATACCAACACGCCTTTTGTTTTTTCGTCTATAACCGGCTCTGCTATTAAAGACTCATGAATTATGGAGAATCTTCGGCAGCTCGAGAAGCAGGGATCTGGGCTGTGAGTCAGTGTGTGTGTGTGTGTGTGTTACTAATGTCTGTCTGCCGTTGTGAGAACAGCGTAGAGAGGATAAAAATGCGAAGAGCAGAAGTTAAACTGAGGGGTGCTGATGTGTTCAAAGTCAGCTGTGATTATGAAATTGAAAGCAGATTAGATAATGACTTTATGTGAACATACAGAGTGTAGATAATCTCATAATAATTCTCATTTAAGAACAGCAGCTGCACTATCTCATCAGCACAGCACGAGGCCTCAATCCTTTAATGGCGATATCTCACTGGCTGTGCAAGGGTGCGATTCTGCGGCTCTGCAAAGACTGATACACTTTGTTTTGCCTGCAGCCGCCCGTTTATAAATTACTTAATAATAATATCAGTCATTTCACCAGTGGGGTTTTTGATGTAATACTTCTTGAGGGAGCTTGATAAAGCATTGGTCACATATTTTAAAAGAATTTTATCCAAATTCTCACCATAAAAATTAAAGCGGGCTCAGCAGCGGCAGCCAAACGGATCCTTTTGAAGTTCATCCAGTTGCTGACAATGCCCCAAATCCCTCTGAGACTCGCAAAACCCAACTAATGGATTGATCTGTCAGCATGCAATACTTATTTTATTGTGCTGTGTTCGGTTTGAGTTGATAATTATTTGCACCTCATAAAGCTGCAGGATGTGGATGAGTTGTTTGCCTTGTGTTTTGTGCAGACTGTGATGTTGCATAGCAGCTAAACGCCGCTATATCCCAAGGACATGAGTCCCTCTCAGTTATTGTCCTCTCTCTCTTTCTCTCTCTCCATCCTTTCATCTTTTCTCCCTCTATCTCTCCATCCCCTCCAGTGTTTTGCTTGCAGCTATGCGCTTGTAATCAGCACTTTTCTCTTAAGACATCCTCCGAGAACACTCTGAATTCAAATGCTCTTGTTTTGTATTTATTTATTTCATTCCCCCCTCAAGGCTCCACTCATGCAGTGCGCTGAAAAGGTGATTTGATGCGATCCGCGCCACATAACTTTCCGAGAGGAGCAGTTTGAATGTTAATCAGGTGTTTTCTGCCCTATACGGCACCCATCAAGGAACTGTTTGGAAGTTGGGTGATGCTTTGTTCATTTCAAAAAGAAAAAGAAAGAAAAGGATGGAAAAAAGCCCTCAAGCAAGACACACTCGCCATATCACACTGAGTACAAATAAAATAAATACAACCGCTCTGGATAAATAATGCCGCAGAGTGCACGTTTAGAGAGTTTACAAGAGCTTTCTAATCATGTTTTTCTGCTAACCCGGGGAAGGTGTGTTACTGCAACACAAAGAATCACAGAGAGTAAGAGACGCCCAGGCTACCTCATTATCCGTATGCTGCGTGGATGCTCCTAAGTCTTACACTCAATCTCCACAATAGCTGAGTAAATTGTAATTACGCCCCTGACCACAGGAGCTCAGATGGGAAACACATTTGCTTGTCCTGCATCTCAAAGCATTAACTCGACTTTGGCTCTTAATTGGAAACACAGGAAACAGAGCTGGGACAGTACTCCCCGCTGGATTTAGATTGGACATGAGGTTTGGTTTTTTATTAGGTCTCTTTGCAGTGAGGACAACAGAGACGACCTAATGACCTCTTTCGGTGTGATCTCAGAAACATATGGAGAGGAAAAGAGCAGGAATTAAAACATTCTCGATGGATACACACCCATCTCACTGCTACAGCTCTCCACCCAAACCCAGTCTAGTCTTAATATTTGAAGCTTGGCAGATAAACAAGTTTTTCACTTTCTACTTTGGAAACGTGCTCACTCTTGACTCATCAAACACAGCTGCTGGAGAAAAGTCTGTGGTCCTAGGCTTTGAAATCTGACTGCCAGGATAGGATACCACACTACTGTACTCCAGCAACAGTCTTAGACATGAGTTACCGCTCTGGTATGCTACTTTCAAGGTTAACATTGTGAAAGACCAAGTATGGTTGGATTTTCTAATGTATCAAGCCTCTATTTGATATGAATGTTTGAAAAAGAAAGGACATATGGGGACAAAGAGGGGGATGCTATACACCAAATACCGCCAGGACAAGGACTCTGGTCTATAAATAGCCCGAGGAGGACTATGGCCTCCGCTCTACAAGCTGAGCTGAACCAGCTCTCTGGATTTTCAAATTACAGCAACCCACATATGATAACAAATACGTCACACTTCACCAAACAAATCCTGCTGAAAAATGTCACACGACATTATAAGCATCTAGGATTTACTTGGACTTACAGCGCAGAACAGCCACAGCTTGTTTTTGTTAAAGCAGCAGATCTACTTTGCTTGTTTAAGTGAAAAGATTACAGTATTAATTTCTGGCAAAGACAAACTCAGTCAAATTTTATTTCAAATACATCACTCGTGAGATGTTTGCTATGACCATGTGAAGAAAGGCTGTTTCTTTGGCTTGCTATCATTATGTGGTTGGACATAGACCTCCTTTAAAAGGACTTGCAGGCATCATAAATTAAAGTTTAGACCATGTTGATCTTCTTGTTAATAGTCTAGTTTGTTTTTTTGTGGGTCATATAAAGGTATTGGTATTGATTTGTAATAAGGGTGGGAATCACTAGTGGCTCTACGATACGATATTATCACTATACTATATTATTGCAATTTTTAACATTTTGCAATACAGTGAGTATTGCGATACAATATATTGCGATTTATACAATTTTTTCAACTGTTTAGCTAATTTAGCATTTGGCTTTCGTTTATGTTTGTCTTATTTGCACTGTATTTTATTTTCATGTACACATCTTGCAAACCTTACGAACTTGTACGAACTTTCTCCTGCACCTCTGTCAACCTCAATGGACAAACAGTTGATTATATTTTTCCATTATCATAGATTTGACTTCATATAAGCAATTAATTTAAAAAAATCCATACTTGGTAAATGAGATGATACAATATATCACCAAACAAAATATTGTGATACTATGCTGTATTGATTTTTTCTCCCACCTCTAATTTGTAACTAGCAAGAAACTCATCATAGGAGCTTTAAATTTGCCCTCTTCTATGTGTGATATCAAGACTTTTAACATGTCTAATGCAACTTTTATTGGACCCAATCATCCCTGTCCAGCACCTCAGAAGGACTTGGGCTCTTTGCACTATCACATGTGGTTTTTTTACAGTCAGGACAAGAAAATTTCCCAAAACACACACAATAATATGACACATCGGGCTACTGATCAAGTAGACGTAGATGCTACTTTTAAAGAAACACAAGGCTGATGGCTTTAAACCAGTAAATTAAACAAGCATTAAACATGTAATTGTTCCCAACTGATTGTTCTTGTCTCCTATGTCCACCAGGCATCATCCGTCTGAGCGAGGGCTTTCATGATCGATACCCAGTGGAGGACTATCTGGACTTGTTTGATCAGGCTGCGTACCAAATCCAAGGCAACCTCACAGCAAACTCCAGTGGAAGTCTCAGCCAGCCTAACATCATCATAGGTAAGGGAGATTACACATACGCCACATTACTTTCACATGTAATACTTTAGTTGTAGTTTATTTGTATTTTCTATCAAAGATAATGAACCACAATTACAGCAATTGTATGGCCCTAGTGTTGTGGTATTTTTATAGATGGGTATCCCCCCTCTATTTCTGTTTCATTTATTTGTTGGGTTTACAGGGTTGCTCCATAGACTGTAAAAATACATGGACTCAGCCACAGTGACGTCACCCATTGGTTTCTTAGGTTTCTTAGGCGCCATGCTGGAAGTGCTGAATCACTATAACCCTGAGCCAACCTAGATATAGGCAAAGTGGTGGAGTGAAGGAAGGCTTTTAGCTTCTTGGCAAACAGTTACATTGCACCCACATGTCTGTTGACCCAGCCGTGCTCCTAATTATGCTAGTTTATGTAAAACTCGTGCAGTGGTTTGCTTTGTTTCCAAGTTGGTAAGGTTTTTTAAAAAATGCCCATGAGATGCATTTGTGTGTTCTGGATTGTTAAAGAGGAGTGATTCTTTTTGTTGTGTCACATTTTTCTCTGAAAGTGTTGAAGGGTTGCTTCTTTTTACAAAATTTAAGCAACTTTGCAATTTGGAGCTGACTATTTTGCTCTGAAGTTCAACAACTCTAATAGCGTTAGATGTAGGGGTGTCCAGATGCGATATTCATACAGGATATCAGTCCAATATCAGCGAAAAAAGGAACATCGGATTATATCTGCTTGCACTCAAAATCTTCGATATCAGCACTCCGATACAAGCAGTCCATTCTAGACTCCGTTCCAGCACCTCTATCTAGCAGCACTCGGATCCAGCAAGGAGTAGGAGTGATGTCAGCTGTGTGGCAGTATTTTTCGTTAAACTCTGAAAAAGACGTTGCAGCTGAGTGCAAAAATTGTCATGCACAAGTTTGTGCTACTATCGGATCAATATCGGTATCAGCCAATACTGAAGGGTACAATATCAGTATTGTATCAGAGGTTAAAAAGTTGTATCAGGACACTCCTAGCTAGATGTGTTTTGTCTGGAAAATTAAGCCAAGAATGTTTAAATGGTTATATAAAACATTCCTTAAAATCATTACAAGAGTTATTGTGGACATGCCTCTCTGTTTCAGAAACACATTTAATAATCTAAAAGATAAATAGAGTATAATATTGAATAAGACTTTTTATGGGCTTGTGTCAAATAATTAAAGACTCGTATCAGGATCATGGCTGTTCAAAGAAGTTGAACATTTCAACTCAAATATTTGTTTTAGAAATGAGACAGAGAGAGTTTTCACCACCTTGGTGTATTTCTTGTAGAAACCGACCCCTGCCTGACACTCCAGCCTAACCCTGAGTCCACTTTTGATTTCATTTCTAAAATTAGCTCCAGTCTCAGAATAAACTGGTTCCATTGCACTATATGTCAGACTCAGCTTAGAGAAGCCAAAGAGAGCAACACATCTCAGAAAAGATTGGCACGCTATGACAGGGAGATGTCTATCCCAATAAAAAACCTTATGATCTATCACATAATGACTTCCTCAAGAATAACATGTCAAGGAGACGAGAGGAAGACAAATGATCACTGCCATGTAAGCTTATCAGATCTCCATGCATGTCTAGTAGCACCAGCAGATCCTGTTTAATCAGTGGCGCACCATGTCAGAGGGCAGATTCACCCCTCCCCTCTCTGCTGTATCATGTTAGTTACCAAGGTCATGTATCAGCACTTTAACCCGTGTGTGGGACATGCGGTGACAGTCCTCCGTGCCCTCTTCAGGGTTCGGCCAATGGCGTTTGGCTTCGGGGGACCCGACATTTGCCTGAAACGTCACTTGTAATTTCATCGGCGATATTACAAAGCTGCAATCAGAGCAGCAGTTAGGGAGGCTGGAACACAGAGCAGACTGTGACTCAGCCCTAAAGAGGGGTTTGAACAGCTTAATAACACTGGACTTCCTTCTGCCTCACTACGCCACTTTGCTCAAGTGCTGCAGAGTGGAATGTGTTTTTTCAGGACTGCAATGATATCTGCAGTGGGGTGAAAGAGTCTCCAACCTCCATCTGTGTGTCGGCAATATAACTCGTAATGCCAACGCCATGATGACGTCGTAAAAAAGAGATTTATTTCCTGTGGGTCTCGGGATCCTTTTATGGTCACAGAACTTAGAGTGTTATCTACATAGGAAAATCAGATGTTTGTTGTTTGTTTTATGAGTGGGTGTGGCAAATTGGCTCAGTCGTGCCCCTGTAAGAAGGAACGGAAACGCACCCACATCGCACATCAATTAAATTTGTAAAATTTGGTGGGCATTTGCCTCTTGGTCTACTGTAGTGCTACAAACCTACACAGTAGGTTGGATAAGACTTTCAGACACATACCTGACTTTCACAGTCACAGAACTTAACAAGCATTGGTATGAATTTTGTGAGTAAGCCTGGCGGAGTGGAAGTTGTCGAAGTGCCGTCATCCTGGTGACATAAAATTTTGTTGACAAAGAATGGCATAGTGGGAAGAACAGTTCTTTTGACTGTACTGAATCTTTAGACTCCCTTCATTAAACCGATTGGTTCAAAAGATTCGTTCACTGAATCAGTCAGTGCTTCAGAGCCCCATCCTTCCTCTGCAGTACACCAGTGAGTGACACAACCGCGAGTTTGTTCATTAAACGAGCCCCTCCCCTCCCCTGCTGCTGAAGTCATAGCATCGTTCACTGAGTGGCACATGTCATTGATTCAAGTCCTGAAAAACTCACCTCTCTGTGTGTAGCCGTTGGCGGAAACAATACAGCAGCAAGCAGCACGCCTGCTAAACAAGTGTGAGTCGTCATTCTTTTATAACACGGAAAAGTGGAGAGATTAAAAATAAACATCGCCACCGTGGTGGGGATTCTGCTACTTTTAAAGATATCAAGTAGAGTATTGCTTTAAATCGGCTGCAATTAAATCCTTCTTGCAGGAAAGTCTATAATGTTGATTCATGTAAAGGCCTCGGTAAACAAACTGGTGCTCGGCAGAAAGTGAACAACGTAACACCCCTACCTCCACTGCCTGCATCAAGTCATTCGGAAGTTGTTCGTTTCGTTCACCATGTCGTTCACTGACTGACTGATACATTTCGTTTGCTGACTGATACATGTCGTTTACTGACGTTTTGTTCACTGACTGATACATGTCGTTCATAGACATTTCGTTCACAGACTGACTGATACATGTCGTTCATAGACGTTTCGTTCACAGACTGACTGATACATGTCGTTCATAGACGTTTCGTTCACAGACTGACTGATACACGTCGTTCATAGACGTTTCGTTCACATACTGACTGATACATGTCGTTCATTCGCTGTGAGAAAAATTAAGAGACTCCGCCTGCCCGCTCGCTCGCTGACTGGCTGTGTGTTGCTTGCCAAAGAGTCAAAGGTGGCAGTTCCACTCCCGACCGGCTTGTCAGGCTCACTGCTGAGCTCAACTGAACTGAGAAAGGAACGAAGGATTGATTCCATTCATGATGTTCACTCAGCAGTTCTGTTCTTTTGAACGGAAACGTTCATGAACCGACACATCACTAGTATGCCATACCCAAACCTACAAAAATAGAGGGGTATGTTTTGATTTCACCGTCATCAAATGAGACTTTCTCAGGCGATTCCAGGGGTCACACACCTGACTTCATCTTCCTCTCCTCAAACACAAAATCTCAAAAGAACTGCTCAGTTTTTCAGTATTTCAACCGCAGCCTTTTCACGCCGGTTTTGAGTTGCTGAATTGAGCGCAGCTTAGCGTGCAGCCCTGTTTTGTTTCCCCCTTTAAATAAATAATCCTTGTAGGAGAGAGGGGTGTGTGCCAAAACTCCACTCAGTATTCACACCGTGCCCTGAGAGAGCGCAGCAAGGTGCAGGCCTGTGGCCAGGATCTTGGGCTTCAACCACCAGCCAACACCAGAGGCACGCTGGTCTGGCTCCGGCGCTTGTTTGCCCTATTACCGCCTCTCCCTGCGGAACAAAATAAGCTCTTTTAATGGACATGGAGACCTTTAAATAGACTTGATCACAGTGTGTATCATTTGAGGCGTAGCAGCATTAGCAGCGATCCTGTTTCACTCTCAGCACTGTCAGCTCAGAAAATAGGCCCTGGCTATCATCCCTTTCTCTGAGGAAGCGAGGGAGATAAGGGCCATGTTGTGTTCGCTCCACAAATACATTGCAGCTTCTCTTGACAGATAAGAGGATAATGAAGGCACAGACAGACTAATGAATCCTGGATATCATTTCTCAGCGAAGCCTGATAAAGTTTCTGCTCTCAAATTGTTTGAGAAACGGCGTCCTCTGACTGCTTATGAGCACCACAACTGCTCGCTCTTTGTGTGGAGAGCAGTTATTCCACAATTTTACTCGCAGCTGGAGATGTAATTACTCTTGTTTATTTTCCAGTATGCACTTGCTTTAGCGTCTTTCATTTCATGGACTTGTTGCATGTGTTGGGAGCTTGCTGTGTCGGGAACCTCCAGCTAGGATTTTGTGGCAGTTTTAGTTGGAGGAGGCAATCAAAACAGAACTCATTGTGTTGTATTTATAGATTTTCTGTTTTTCTGAGGCAACTATTCGGTTCATTTGTCTGTCGAATGTAACAATAAAATGAAAAAACACAAAAATCCTGAAGCTGATATTAGATATTGAAATACACAGTTGTTCTATGATGGTATTTGAGGCGTTTTCCGCTGTTCATTTGTGCTTTTAGGACATGTCTCTACATTTTTTTAAATCTATTGCTCAAAAATAGTTATACAATATGGAATTTTTTTTTTTCAAACAATCTGCTCCTGAAGCCCGATATCAATAACATCACTCTCTGTTTTTGCATAGGCACACCTGAGAGATTCAGTGAAGTCAGACGCACCTTTACTGGGGCTCTGTAGTGATCAGTTCAACTGAAATCATGTTAGTTGACACTTGACACAGTTTTAATTATGTTATTGTCTTATTCACACTATAAACCAGACAACTCCTCCACTCTGGACTGTGAAACTAAGGGCACTTTGTGAACTAACGTCAGATGCCTATTTATGTGAGCTAAAACATATGTGTGCGTAAATCACATCATACTAGGTAGTAGGGCTGGGTGATAAACCGAAAATTTACCGATAACGAAATTTTTTAATGTTTGGAAAATGTTGGCTATAACATAAAAACCCTACACATTGACCAGGGGTTGCAGTGGCTTTATTTCCACCACCAGTTGTAACCAAAGATGTAGATGCCATGCTTCTGCCATAAACCAAAAATTAACCAATACTGAAATTTACGACTATAACCGACATCATTTTGCCCATGTCAATATATTCGGTGTCAAAAAAGTAAATAAATAAAAGTTGGTTTTGTATGTGTGGAGGTAGGCTATGGTCTCATGTCCCTTTAAGACGCTGTCCTACATTGGAGATGTGGCTTGTGACCAAAGAGAGAAAGACAGGTGAGGAGATGGAGGACGGTTCAAAAATTGTAGCGGCTGAAGTAGACAAAGTTAATGTGGGAGGGGGTGAGCAGCTTGTGGAGAAGTAATCGTCCATTTATCGTCATGAACTGCTCAATATATAGTGATATTGATTTGAGGCCATATTGCGCAGCCCTACCGGGTAGTCAGGGATATATTTACTGCCTTGCAACAAGATGGGTCATGACGTTAGTGATCCTGTTACTTTTAGTTGTAAATTTTCTGCTTTAGCCTTTTTTCTTTTTTAAACACTACTGCTAGCTGCGGCTGCTACTTTAATGTGATGTTGAAACGCAACACCAAAGAGTTTAAAACACTTTGAACATCCACTCAAAGAAGTTTTGATTTGTCTGAGTGTGATTGCATCATTATACAGGCTTAACAGTCTCTGTGTGGGTATGTTTTTTTAACTACTGTGGGCTGTGTGTTTTTGCAGGAGAAGCCAGCGCATCCACCATGTGGGATAACAACGCCTGGGTGTATTTCTATGATAACACCACAGAGGGGGAGCCTCCGTTCCTTATTCAGGACTTTGTCCATGCCCTGCAGCCTGATGCCCGCTTCATTGTCATGCTCAGGGACCCCGTGGAGAGGTGGGAGTTGTCTTTGTTGCACAATATTACCCCAGTAAAATGTCAGTAACTACACGGTTTAGTTCGGAAATAGACAAAGCTGCCTTTGTGCCTTTATCACGGCTGTTTACTCTGCAGATACAGACAGACACTTTGACTGTGCACTGCAAACAAACGACTTGTTGTCACAGAAGATGTGTTACCTTTTACTTTCCGTCACATAAATTGAAATATGACATCTTTATCAGAGGCACAAAGACCTTGAAGCAGATTGATAGAGACTTTCCGTTTTTGAGTGAATATCCTTTATGCTGTTTAAGTTGATTTTAACTCGTCTGAACGCGCGCTCTGTAATTGCTTTTGCCCTTTTATTCGAATAAATTGATACAGCGTCATCATCCATTTTCGCACTCCTATTAAACTCTTCTTCTTTATAGCGATTTCAAACACAGAGGCAATCCAAAGTGCTTTAGAAAAGGCAAAGAAAGGCATTGAAATGACATTAACCAAACAATGAGCATTCAAAAGCTTGTCATAATCTGGATTTAAAGTCCACTTTTCGAATATTGTTCATTCACTTCTGGAGAAACTGATCCCACAGTGGTGTTCACAGTCCTCCTCTCTCTAGATTTGTCTTTTAAATCTCATTCTCCACTCATCCATATTGTAGCAGCAGCTATTCAGTCACCCATCCAAGGTCAATGAGTTCTCTCTCTCTCTTCTATTACTTTTGTTTCCCCAATGATCCGCTCAGCTTAATCCACACTTCTTGTCCTCTTCCACATTGACTGTATTCTGTTATTTTAAGAAGGATTGCTTTAGTGTTTTCTGCTACAAGGTTTAGTTCACATGCTGGCTTTGTTTTACTGTCCTTTGCTGAAAAGAAAGCACATTTTTTGCCAGTAAAGGACGGTAGCTTTGCTCTTTTAGGGATTTTTCTTTGATTTCTGGTTAAGATCACATATCTTCTTAATGAGTCTTTTACTGTTTGGAAACTGGCCACTTTCTTAGCTGCTGTAAACAACATGAAGTGACTTCCTGGCCTCCTCTATCATGCCTCCAAACTGATTAATTTTTCAAATTTGGATAAATGTTGCTGGTCATTTAAAGTCCAGTCCATGCCAAAGATTCAACCAAACCTGACAGATGATGAAAATTTATTTATTTGTCATATGAAAAATCCAACACTATGACTCTCCACAAGTTGTCCTTCAGGTCGTTATCTTTGTATTGTTTGTGTCTTTTATCAAAAAGCACTCTGTTCTCCGTCACGTAAACAAACAATCAGCCGGTCGGCCATGTTGGATATACCGGTGAATCAGACGTCGCAACAACATGAAATCTGATTGGTCAGAAGTGGACACACAGTATGCGAAAATTTAGAAAATTCGACCATGATACGAAAAAATAAATGTCGCAATATCGCATGACGGGAAACGTCGCTGATATGAACGCTTATATTGACAGGACACGGGTTCGAAAAAAATATTGACGTCCGAAATAATCGCACAAAAAAAAAAAGGTCCCAGTGTGTAAGGACCTTAAGTCAAAAACATGGATTGGAATGTAAAAATCTTTTCCGTACTTTTATCATTATCGCCAAAATGGCAAAAATTATCGGGATACATTTTTTTGCCTATATCGCCCATCCCTATTTTGACCAGTCCTGACTCTCAAAAGGGGAAATGTCTGAATCTGCTTCGGTCAGTCTTAACTTCAGAGTCAACAAACACAGCATATGAAGCTAAATCTTTCCCTTGTCTTTCAGGCTCTACTCCGACTACCTTTACTTCGGTATTGCCAATAAATCTGCGGAGGATTTCCACGAGAAGGTGTCAGAGTCGCTGCAGTTATTCGAGGGGTGCCTTACGGAGTACACAATGCGCTCCTGTGTGTACAACACTACTGTCAACAATGCCATGCCAGTGAGTTCACCCTCCCTCCTGCTTCTGTCTTACAGCCCTGCAGAAAAACCACACGACAGCCACCAGCTCCGTCTTACAGGAGGGGGAAAAGAAATAAAAAAGACAGATGGAGTGAAACCCACACTTCATTAACACACTGAAGCTTTCATGACAGACTTTATGAAAAAGGATTGGCAGCACTATTGAACGGCTGAGCAGGGCAGCGTCTCGGGCCTCTTTTTGTAGAAGAAATCAAAGTTTAGCTGTGGTGTGAACTTCCTTATTCGCTTACAAAGCAGACCAAGTCTTAGTGCCAGCCGGTCCAGGGCCCCAGTGTTGGGCCCCTGGCCAGCTTTTCCCACGGTGCCCCAAGGCAGACTGGCTAAGAGGGGGGAGGAGGAGGAGTGGGCCCAGCTCGCTCTCTTTTGGCCCTCCTCCATGCTGCCTCATATTCAAACGGTCCTCATCTCCGACTGCCTCCAACAAGCTTTACAGCCCTCAGAGAGCATGCTCAGTCTCTGCCTCTGGCCTAATTGTCCATCCACTAATATGTCCTCAAAGTTATTAGACCATGTTAAAGCATTACAGCTGTCCTAACAGGGTCTCTCATGCCTGTGCCTGCGTGATAAAAGTTGTGCAGCTCAGATTAGAGTCTGGGGAGAAAAGACCAATAAACACCAGCATGAAACACGATTGGCCTGACCAAATTGATTCAACAAAGGAGGAGCTGCTGGCCTGGAGAGTAATCATTTTCTCTCAAAGGCCTTTCAGTTTTGCTAAAAAAGCAAAAGGACATGGGGACGGTACAGTTCCCAGTAACAAGGGGGTTTATTTACGCTTACTGGTCTGAAATGAAGTGTCATATGGTGGATCTGAAAATCAATTTGAACAACAATAAGGTTACCTGAAAGTGCCCTGCTGAAATCTTACCAATGATTTATGGCCGCTGCTACTTTTTGCAGATATTTTCTTAGTTTTTAATTGCCTATGCTACAAATTTGACAGAAATAGTGAACAGTCTTTGCTGAAGTTGGTGGAACTAGAGAAGCAAGCCGTTCGAAGCGAGATTCATCTTTGAAAAAAAACAGGCAGATCCACCAGATTCAGGCCCCGTTTGTTTTCTTTGCAAACTATTGTTTGCACCCTTCGTATAGACGCAAACAGAGAATTCGCCTCTGAAAACGGGGCTTTTTAAAAACTCTGGCCAGAGTAGATATTTGAAAAACTTTGTTTGCATGTAAACAGAGAAAAATGAAGAAAAATTGAGATTGCGGGAAAGAAGAAAGGAACATTGTTGTTGTTGCTGCTGTGTGGGATTCGGATTAGCTAACGTGGGCTTGAGCGTCTCGCTACACTGCCACCCGCATGTTTGATATGCTCTTGACAGCATTTGTACATGGGTTAGTGAAAATGAAAACTTTTCTGAAAATGTAGAGCTGTGTCCCTTTCTGAAAATAGCCGGGCACGTTTACGTAGTCTCAGATTCACCAAAATAATTTTGGTTATTTTTAATCTGTGACAGCGTCCTGTATCATATCTACATCTCTGCGTTTGTAACAAATGAAACCGTGTGAAAAACGGGCAAAAATCTGAAGAGTTATGATTAATATTGTTGGGCATTCCTACCTACCTCAATAGAAATAAATGCACCGGGGGTGCATGGGGACCCAACCGAGATGGTGGCTGCACTGATGCATGAGCACCAATAGGAAGCGTCGGTCTATGAGGCTAATCTATTTTTTTCCCATCTCCAAAAAATACCCCAAAAAGAAAAGTACCCAAGCAAGACCAGTGAATGTGCCGATAATGATCACAATAAAACAAAATAAAAGTAGGGCTGCACCTGCCAAATAAAAACTATTTGCTCCTGTTTTATCTCTGCTTTTGTCTTTTTCACCAGTGAGACGCACAATTATCAGAGATTTAGAGGAAACATGTCTGCTGGTGAGACATTAAAAACTTTTACAGCCAACTTCGGTTTCAGACTTTTAGGTTTTGTCACTGCTGTTATCATTTCCCCAGATTGAGTGTTGTAGTCAACTGAAGTGCTAAAACTATCAGTAGCTCAGCTTGCAAAGAGCATCCGAGAAACTCTTTTCAGTGAAAGTGTGAAAAATTAGCCACTTCGTAACATCCCTAGTTTTAACCATCCAGTTTGTGTGGTGAAAACCTCTGCCACTTATTCGTCTGAGTGACTGATGCACACTGAGGACAAATTCTGATAACCTCCAAAGTTTACAGCCTGCAACACTTTTCTGGAAGTGTTTCTCAAGGTGCAATGACGCAGCTAAAAAAAAAAAAGTACAGATATGCAACTTGCAAAATGGGAGTCAATTCAAGGTCCTCTCTGCTCCTGATTTAAACCTGTTGGGAGGCTCGCTTAAATGACAGTAGAGAATGAAGTGAACTGCACTGACAGGTACTAATGCAGGTTTCTTATTCTGGAGGACACACACCTTTCACAGAAATCTCAGCCAGCCCAGCCTCATGCAGCTAAAACGGCCAAAGGTTACTACCCAGCTGAATGCAAAAACTGAGAGTGTTGGAAATCCTCTCCTCTGGCTGTTGAAGAGTTTGACCCTGCATGTACCACTGTGTCTGTCAGCTGAGAGTGACGTTACCGGGTTGAAAACTGATTTCTCACATCGAGTCTCGTGTTTCAGGTCAGATTGCAGGTCGGCCTCTACATTGTGTACCTACTAGACTGGCTGACAGTCTTCAGCAGGGAACAGATCCTGGTCCTGAGGTTGGAAGACCACGCTTCGAACAGGAAATACACAATGCACAGAGTCTTTGATTTTCTTAACCTGGGTGAGTATGCAGCTTCACAACCTCACGTACGCCTTTATCGCATCAACTACAGATCAGTGAAGACACTCACTGTGAAATGCATGTGATTACAAGCAGCAGGGATTCTCCAATTATCTGAAATAAATGTGAATTAAAGTATTTCAACATGAGGCAGTTAAAGTGATATTAAAACAGCAGGATAACATGATAAAAAAAGAGCTGTAGTTGAATTTAGATTTTCTTTCCAAGTGCTTAAGTCTTCACTGCTCGGCCAAATAGGTAAGAAATAAAATTTCAGTCAGATGCACATCTTACATCTTATACTGAATACTAAATTTTATCAACTTGTCCTGGGTATAAAGTAGATTTAGTGTTTCCCACAAACCAAACTGACAGCTTTTCTCTCTTTGTACGCACAGCAGAGCATCCTGCCCTTCCTCCTACTGTTTCTTTTGTCCGTATGTTACTGATCTTTCGACGGTATTGATCAGCGACAGATTATAACTGAGAAACCGCAACACAACTCATATTTTAAATCTTTCACCCACAACAGGTGGCAAAAAAACATATCAGGAGTCAAGGCTCAGGCTCTAATTTAGTTGGTAAGGAGACTGAAAACGCTTAAATCAAAGTATTTTGTCAACTTTTTCATTCTATTTTGGCACCAACGGTTGTAAATCTCACTTAGTCAAACCCAGTTATGCCCCCTTTTTTTTCTGAGAACCCCCTGCCTTCAGCTTACCGCTTCCAGTTACCCCGGAGCGTAGACTTAGCTCTTCAAAGCGCTGCCAACATGAGCCAAGGTGTGACTGCCTACCAGAGTGTCAAATCCTCCCCTCATGGCTCTGCTGATGCACCGTGTCATTCAAGCGTCTTCCAACCAATTTTTTTGAGACGTTTGTTTAATGCTGTGGCAAAATCTAAAGCGACCCAGAAAGCCGAGAAGTACCGTATATAAGAAGTGTTTTTTTATGTGTTTTACAGGTCCGTTGACAAAAGAAAGAGAGTCAGAGATCACAAGAAGTCCAGCGTCTAACACCAGGAGACCAGCTGACAAAAACCTGGGACCCATGCTGCCCGTCACTAAAGAGATCCTGCGGGATTTCTACACGCCGTTCAACGAGAAATTAGCCAAAGTGCTGCGCAATAACTCCTTCCTCTGGGAGAATGACTCTTAACTGTGAGCAGCCCAGCTCCCCTAAACTTCAGTAAAAAAAACAAGAAACCACTGATGTGTCAGCCAGCCCCCTTCCTTTGAGTTTCATCTCGCTCAAGTGCCCATGGAGATCAATGTTTTTGTTTTTAATTTAAATTATTTTTTAAGTTATAAAAGCAGAGATGAATCAAAGACGGAAAATAGCACAAAGAGAGAGTGGTGATTTTGTGATGTGTGTGAGTGTGTGTGTGTGTACATGTGTGTGTGTTTGAGTGAGTGCAAGAGAGAAATGTTGGCAAGTCTTTGTTTTTTTTCTTTTTTGTGACCAGATGTACAAAATTAAATAGTGAATTCAAAAACAGAGTCCTGTGTTGTCTTTTAAACATGGTGATTAATTAAAAGATAAACAGCCAACAAGACGTGCTGTAATAGTTTGTCTTTTTTGTTCGACACAGCTGAAATATATCCAAGCAGAGATAAAAAGACTCAGATCCTACCTTGATCACATCAGAATCTCACTGAGAGCAAAAGTTTGGTTACACAACACCGCCATCTTCTGGGCAAACACTGTTAATGCAGTTTCAAATTTGTTCAAATCCACTAAAGCTGTTTCTGGTATAGCAGATGCTTGAAACAGCAGTCAGGATTAGGTCTTAGAGATAAAGTGCTTAACGGTGTCCTGCAGTAATAATCTTTAATTGCATTTCATACAGCAAAGATTCTCATACTCTAGATATTCAAAAGACTTGTTCGTATACAAGACAAGATAAGCAAAGGGATAAAAGGTGACCCCGCTGCCATCAAGGGAGCCAAAATTTACACAAACTGAAGGATCCTCACAGAGCGTCAAGGACGGTTAAAAAACAGAAAGAGATCAAAAAATATTTGGGACTTAAGTTTCATTAGTCTCACTTTTGAAGGGCAGCCATGTAATTATGCAAATAGATTCTTCAAAACAATTTCCTCTAACTTTGAAAGGTTGTCTTTAAATGATAATGGATTGATATGAAGTTTATTATGAAGCTAAGTTTACAGCATCATTTGGGAAAAGGCTTTTTTTTTATCTTAGCGAGAGAGAACCTCAAGACAGCTTTAATTTTCATCTCTTTGAAACAATCTTAAAACAGACCGGCTCTTAAAAGGAGGATGTGATTGTAATAAAAATTTGGGATTGAGTAATTCTGGTTTTTCAAGGTCGATACGAGTTTAGGTTATTTGTAATTTAGGCGAATAGTAAACAATATTAGGAATTGATATACGGGTGAATGGCGTATAAGGTTTTTAAACATGCCAATTTTTAAATAGCAAAATTAGAATATATTTGCAAAAGTGTTTTTTCATATAGTTAAATTGCCCGTGGCCTTAAAAAATGTCATGTGGTGCGACCATCATTTATCTCAAAATTATTACATTTTTTCAACATACTTAATAGTTTTTTTTTCAAATTGTCAGTAATATTAAGCAGATAGAAACAAAGTGTTTGCATTTCATTTGAGTTTTTGTAAATAATGATCTCACATTTTCGCTCTATAATGTCACAGTCACTATATTAAATGTAATTAACTGACTAATTTTTTCTTTGAATTGCATAATACTGATAAAAATGTTTAAAAACTACCTTTCACTTTGGCATATTTTATCAGGTATTAATGTTTCAGTTGCAGAAATTAGATATTTCAGTGTGTATTTAATAAATTTATTTAATGTTATAATTGGTCGCACCACATGAGATTTTGACACTTTGAAGTTTAGAAAAATTACAAATAAGACCTGATTTTTGAAAAGTTGAAGTGAGTAAATATATTTGAGAGATACTACATTTAGAAAGCGTATTTTTGTACATTTAAACCTTTTTTAAATAAAAAAAAAATACAGCCGGATAGAATATTTAGCCGTCACATCATTGACCCATACACTGACTATAAAACTGAAAAATTTTGTGTCAAAATCAAGAATTTGGAATTTTACATCAGACACAGAAGTTAATAAACCAGTAACACTTACAGTGCAGTTACCGCACACAGTTGGGACTAGCCAATCAGGTTGTGTCTGGGTGAGACAAAGTGGTAAAAGAAAGCAGATCTGGGTGGGAAAACATACCAGCAGTGAAGCCAAAGTAGCACACTTTTTTAAATTAAATAAATCTTAGAAGCCATCTGTACAATAAAAGGTCAATACCAATGCAAATGAACAGTCTACCCCTATTAAAAACGCTGTCTGAGCCTTCAGTTGAAAGATACCCACTCCAACCACCACCAGAGGGCAGACAAAGCTCACCCTTTCCCACTTGCAAATCCCCCTGAAGTTATTTACAAAAATGAGAAATCCTCCTGAATCAGCAACATCCAGATTATTTGCAGAGCTTTAAATTAAAAAACTACTCAAACTCAATATAAGTAAAAGGAGAGGAAATAAATCCACCCGTCAAAAGTCATGTCTCTTGTGGTAGACTGCCTCCGCCGTCTTTAAATCAAGACTACTGGGAAAGACTCCCTTCTTAATTTAACCGCAATCACACTGATTTACTAAACAGCATGGGATCCCAGAATGTGTTTTTTTCCACTGTACAACCTCAGAATCCAAGCAGTTTTGACTACTTCCCTCTTATTGAAAATCAGTTCAATCTGAGTGGACAAAAAAAAAACATAGTGGCTGCAAATCATTTACATATTTTGTTTGGAGTTGGAGGGTCCATCTGGCTGGCTGAAGAGGTTCCGCTTCGATGTGAGCCTCCAACCAGCTTCAATTTCCTTGGAATTCGCAAATATTATCAGAGCTCCTTTCATCCTCGTCTGTACTGTATCAGGATACAGAGACAGGCAGGAAAAGTGGACAACTACTGCCGCAGAGAAAACTCGAGACGCTCTCTGGAACACACAAAAAAACCTGTAGCCCACATTTCTTTGCTTTGCATCTGAGCTGGTGTTTGGCCAAAACAGGCTGCAGTTATTGTCATGGAAGTAAATTACGCTTTTCAACTGATGGGAGTGTTCTTGCTGCCTGTTGGAGCAAAAAACATAAATTTGACCAACTCATGTGGAACTGATTCTGATGTAAAAAGTTTGGTTTTGGCATCTCGGCCCAGAACTCATCATTTCCTTCAAGGTTTAGCTCAGCATAGTATAAGGGAGTAATGAAGCTTACAAAGAGTCTCGTGAAGAAAAGTTGAGATGTTTTCAGCAGAAACTTGATGAACTGAGAAGCAGAAGGTTAAAAGTGTCAAGATAGAGTGCTATAGCAAAGAAAGAAGCGCCTACACCCACAACTATGAAAGATGGATATGGTCTAGTCAGCGTTTTAGCTGTGTGAATTTTTGTGCGAATATCATCCTTCTCCAACAAAACGCACAGATGAAGATTAATAAATGAAACCACCTTTTCAGAAACTTGCTAAAACACGTGGCAGCTGATAATTAAAACATTAGAAGCGATTATATTCATATTACCATCAGCACGCATGGAAATATGCTTACACCTTGTATTTTTAAAGCTGTTAAGTGGTCCCTAAATGTAAATCATAAACCAGCGGGACAGATCTTTAGTGATATTAACAGGGGAGCTAATTATCACCAAAATCCCAAAAAGATTTTAGTGACAAAAATAACCCTCTCAATGCTTGACTGATTATCAGACAATTTATCACTCAAACTTCAAACCTGAGATAAAAAACTAAACCTGTTCTCCAGTAAGCCATTAAGAATAAATTAATAATTAGACTATGTGCACACTCTAAAAAATCATGTTTCTATCAACTAAAGTCAACATGCAAATCTCACCAGAATGTAACCCATAAAACAAGCAAAACCATGCAACACAAAACTACAAATCACCTTTAGCTAACAGCATGGGAAACTTGATATGCAACCAAAAAAGCGAAGAAACAAGTTGAGCCATTATAAAAGGTAATAGCTTACCAAGGAATGACTACTTAAAAAGGATAACGCAACAATATTAAAGAAAAACCAAGCAGCTAGGAGACAAGCAGCAGACAACAGCAAGCAAGAAGATACAGCAGCAATGCTAGCAAACCAAGCACAACAACACCAGCACAAAGACACAAAAAACAAGCATTAGCAGCATAAACTTACCTTAGTGTTTTTCGCAGCTCAGCAACAATAAATACTAAAAGTAAAGAAGCAAGTTGAACCATTATAAAAAGGTAGCTGCCAACCAAGAAATGGCTACTTAAAACAGATAATGCAACAATATTGAAGCAAATCCAAGCAGATAGGAGACAAGCAGCTTGAAACAGCAGGCAAGAAGATACAGCAGCAATGAAAGTTAGAATAAATTAAAAATAAAACTGTGCGCAAACACACAGAAATCATGTTTATATCAACTTAGGCTGCATGCATATTTAACATGAATGTAGCCCAAACAACAACCAAAACTATGCAAGACAAAACTACTAAATCACCTTTGGGTAACAGCATGAAAACTTTGAAATGCGACCAAAAAAGTGTAATCATTGTAAAAGATAATAGCTTTCCAAGAAATGACAACTTAAAACAGATAATGCAGCAATTTTAAGGCAGAACCAAGCAGCCAGGAGACAAGCAGCAGGAAACAGCAAGCAAGAAGATACAGCAGCAATGCTAGCAAACCAAGCACAACAACACTGACCAAACACAGACACAAAATACAAGCATTAGCAGCATAAACTTACCTTAGTGAGTCTTGCAGCTTTACATGGAAGCAGGATTATGGCTGAAAAGGAGATGGGAAAAGACAGCTAGCTTAGTAGCCTGCTAGCAATCACACCTGAGAAGATAACTTCCATCCAACCGGAGCAAAGAGCGCCAAAAATGGACTTCCGGTCAGTAATGTCGTTTTAAAGTGACAGACAGCTCAGCTAGCTCATACTTGGCAGCTAGCAAGACTAGCCAAAGCACTGTGAAGTAGAAAGGGAGGACAAACGGGATGTTTACTATATTTCATGACTGTCTAAAAGAGAAGAACTGAGGTAAGTTTTATGAAACAAATTACAGAGCCACACTGCAGAGGGAAAGTTAAGCTTATTACTCATAACAATATCTGAAATAGGACCTTTTCTGGATCATAAGGAATATCAGCTAATATGCAGTTAAATGGCCCAAGGCAAGTTTACAATGTATTATTGATAAGCAGTTAAAAAAACAGAAACCACTTAGCATTTTTTTGTAAATAAAGATTTGTGACACTAACAGTTTTAAACGTTTTAGAGTAGTGTTGTTGATTACAAATCTCCATGGTGGTTCCAGGTCCTCCCTCTTTTTCTTTTCCCCAGTAAATTATGTTCTAATGACAGTCACTTGTCATCGGATTGTAAAAACTAATAAGTTTTAAGAAATCCCTAACCTCCTAGGATGAATGAAAAATGATTGATCTGACCTCCAGTCAACAAAAATTATAAGTTTTCTTTTGTCCTCAGGCTTGACA